TATATATATATAGACATTTTATGATTTTAGTTGTATTTTGGTAGCACAGAGGAAACATACAGATCATCTTTTTATAATGAAAACTACACCTACTTTTTAAATAGCCTGTCTTAAAACTCGTCCGATACAATAAATTAAAATTAGCAGATCATTTAATGGTTTTATTCAGTAATTTACTATCAATCTATATCTAAATATTAACCAGTTAACTTCCACGCGTCCAAAACAGAAACCATCCCCACGTCTTTTTATGTTATAGACGCTTATGGTGTACAGAGGGTTAAATACATCTAGTGATGCCTTTGTTGGCAGAGTAGTACAAAACCATGGCTATCCGTTGCTTCTTATAAACTAGAAGTGCCAAGCTAAACAGGATTTCATTGGTATGCGAACTTTTAAAAATATGAGTACAACAACACACAGGTAATCACAATCTAACATAGGCAACCTTTTAATAGTTCTGCAGTTGCGTCATTAGATTAAATTTGATTTTGAATAATTACCTGAACATTCTTTTTGGGTTTAATGAAGCCAACCAGAAACTGTAGGAATTTGAATAGTAGTTGCATGTTCCTCTTCCATGACATTCTATGAATGGACTGGCTCGGAATTCTTCCAGGCAGGATCCCGGGGATGCCAGTGCTTGCCCAGAGCCCTCAGAACCTGCGCTTGTGAACTATCACAGTGAAAATATCAGAATAAGAATTCTGTGCATGGTGTTGAAATTTTTAGTGCCATACATATATGGCATCTTGTCTTTTATTGCTACATATGTATATAGTAATAGAAGACAAGAAAAAAAAGCATGAATTTAGCTTCTTACGCTTCTTTGCTCAGATTTGCTAGTGTTCCATGTTGAACTATAGTCATCAAAAAGAAAGTAAAAACTTTCTTTTGCCTAGAATGCTCTTTTTCCCCAGGTGTGACTGGTTCTTTCTTGTCATTCAGAGGTCTGTTTAAATATAATTTCCAGAGGCTTTCTTTGATGTCACTCCTCTCACATTCTCTCCCTTTGTCTTGCCTTATGTCCTTCATGATACCATTTACCGTCTGTGCTCATTACTGTTGTTATTGTGTCTTCTTGTTTATTGTCGACCTTCTCCACTAGGATAGAAGCTCCATGAGAGCAGGAACTTTGGTTTACTGCAGGTATCTTTAGGACCTAGACCAGTGATGGCGAACCTTTTGAGCTCGGCGTGTCAGCATTTTGAAAAACCCTAACTTAACTCTGATGCCGTGTCACATAGAAATTTTTTGATATTTGCAACCATAGTAAAACAAAGACTTATATTTTTGATATTTATTTTATATATTTAAGTGCCATTTAACAAAGAAAAATCAACCAAAAAAATGAGTTCGTGTGTCACCTCTGACACGCATGTCATAGGTTGGCCATCACTGACCTAGACCATTCATGGCATATGGTAGGTGCTGATGTTTGAAACAATGGACATTTGTGAGTAAAGAAGGGGGAATAGTGTTTTATAAATGATGCTCTACAGAATATGAATAACCACTAACTACAGTGTACAGCAGTCAGACTCACAGATGGTCAGTTCATAGATTTCTTCATTTAGCACTTATATCAGGGGAATTTTTCTTTAAAAGGTGTTTTCTCTTAGTTCCCATCTTCATATGAATACCAAAGGAAACAGTATAAGGCATAAAGATTTTGGGCCAGACAGATGTAGGTGCAAATCGTAGTTTTACTACTTATTGTGGGACCTTGGGGAAATTATTCCTTTTTTTTAATGTAAATCTGTAGATGATAGAAACTGTCTTGCAGAATTTTCATAAGGATTATGGAGTATGTATATAAAATATGTACATTTTTAAAAATAGACATTTTATTACCAATATTGTAGTTACTGTTCACCTAAATGTCTTATTTAGAATTTGTGGGTAATCTCCTGAGAAGTTTTTTCAAATGCTCCATTTTTTTTTTTACCAAAAAAACAACTTATTGGTTTTTAAAAAGAGAGTATATTTTCAGATTTACAAGCAAATGTTCATGACATATGAATTGATGACAGTCACATTTTGGGGGCATTTAGGATTTCATAGGCAGTTTTTACTGTGAATTTGCTGTCCCTTTTTCCTTACCATAATGAAAGAAAATCCTGTCCAGAGAGAAATCCAGTCATGGGGACATGCGGGAATGTCTGTGGTTTGGCTGTGAATGGCTATGGCAATCGCAGGACCTTCACAGACAGTGCATCTGTAACATGAAACAAAGAATGTGGTGGCATCGCCACTTTTTGCACTGTGATGTGCTATCTATAGTGTGATTACAAATGGAGTAATTTACCTGGTTTCATCACAAAACTAAAGGATTGAAATTTTTACCTGCTAATATAAGGCTGCAGGGCCCTGCCAGTAATTGGAGCCATGTCCATTGGCATCGGAGCTGGTGTTGACAGCCAGTATGAATAATCATTTCGAGATGCGAAATTACATACATCATTGGTGTTACAGAATAGGAATGGCATTGTGGTAAATCGCTGTAGGCAGCTTCCAAGAGTTCCTAATAAAACATCAGACTAGGTATCACTTTCAGTAACATTAAAACTATTTTGAACATTGTTACCAGGTAGAGACGAATTAAAACATAATCTATGGCAAAAACTGAAGAAAGACAACACTAAAGAATTATCACTGCTGAGGGGTTGGAGCGTCTGGGGAGAGGTAAATGGGGGGAAAAGGAGACTTACCAGGTATGTAATACATTAAGCAATAAAGAATTTTTAAAAAAAGTTATAAGTTATATGACAAAATGTTATATAAGTTTAAAAAATGATAGAAATTAAAGATTCAGTGGGTAAACAAATCCTCTTTCTCCTTCCATAATACTTCCTGTGGCTCTTTCTAATCAGTCTAGAATTTGAGGACTGGTAGAAGGTTAGTTAGTCAGTTTTTGCTTCAAAGTATTCCTAGTTCTTGATATGTTTATAATAGCTAATAGCCAGATAAAGCTTTAGAAAAGATGTTGCTTTTAATATTAAAAAAGTGATTTAAGTGAAAATTGTTTTTGTTGAACAGGACAAGCTATATTGGCATTTAAGAGCAAGGCTCCTGGCTTCGAGTTCAAGATGACGGAGTAGCACTCAGCAGGTGTGGCTCAGGGTAGAGAGTCAACCTATGAACCAGAAGAAATCGTGGTTCAATTTCTGGTCTGGGCACATGCCTGGGTTGCAGGCTTGATCCCTAGTAGGTGGCATGCAGGAGGCAGCCGATCAATGACTCTCTCTCATCATTGATGTTTCTATCTCTCTCTCCCTCTCCCTTCCTCTCTGAAATCAATAAAAATATATTAAAAAAAAAAAAGATGACGGAAGTTCCTGAGTTCACCTCCTCTCATTGACACCAAAACAACAACTGCATATAGAACAGCTATCTCTGAGAACAACCTGAAAACTAGCAGAACAGATTTTCTACAACTACTGATATTTTTTAAAAGCCACATTGAAATGGATAGGAGGGGTGGAGACTAAGTCTACTCAGGACCTACCCTATCCTCCACTCCCCATTCAGTGACTCACAGTGGGAGGGATATCACAACCACAGATATCTTCCCCAAAGAGCTAGCGGTCCAAGCCCTAGCCTGGAGACCTAAACCAGGAAGAGGAGCCCCTATAACATCTGGCTTTGAAAACCAGCAGGGTTTACATCTGGGAGAGCCAAAGGGAAACCCAGGTTGTGCTCTTTCTGAGTCCTGGCACAGAGGAGCAGATTGAAAAGCACCTAGGTCATATGCGAAGGTGATACATTAAACTAGTTCAGGGCATGTGCTGGAGCAACAGGAATCTGTTAGAACTTTCTCCTGAGTCAGAGGTTGCTGGCAGGCGCCATTCCCCTCTCCCCTTTCTTTAACCTAGCCGGTGCCATTTCTGACACACTCCATTAACCTCTCGAACACTATTCACCCCACGCTGGCGTTTCCCTGAGGACCCACCCAGGTTAGTACTCGTCCAAAGAGGCCCCTGCCCTGCCACACCCCGTGGGTGCTTATCTGAAGAAAATGAAACACTAATTCAAAAGGATATATGTATCCCCATGTTCACTGCAGCATTATTTACAATAGCCAAGATATGGGAGCAACCAAGATGTTCATCAATAGATGAATAAAGAAGAAATAGATGTTCACACACACATGCCAGAATATTAGCCATGAAAAGAATGAAATCTTGCCCTTTGTGACAATATGGATAAGTGAAATAAATCAGAGAAAGACAAATACTTTATGTATGGAATCTACAAAACTAAACAAATGAACAAAACAAATCAACTCAGATACAGAAAAACTAATTGTTGCCAGAGGTTTGGGTGGTGGTGGTATGGGCAAAAAGGTGAAGGGGATTAAGAGGTCCAAACATAAGTCACAGGATGTAAAGTACAGCATACGGAATACAGTCAATAATATCACAATAACTGTATGATGACAGATAATGGACTTGGTGGTGATCACTTTGTAAGGTGTATAAATATGAAATCTCACTACATTGTATACCTGAAACTAATAATATTGGATGTCAACTACAATTAAAAAGCTTTACATTCTAGAATAAACATTAGATATTAGGCCTATGTTTTGTTTACTCTCTTTAAAAAGTACTGTAACATACCCAAGGTACTTCAGAGTGAAGCACCACATACCACAAAAATTTACAATCTGTATTTGGAACAGTGAGTGGGAACTTGGACTGGGACATTACCCAGGTCTTGTCCATAAGCTTGTTCATTTCCTTGTATGAAAAGAAGAGAGAACCCATTATAGAGTGGCTCCGTTCCTTCTGGACAGGAAGGAATTGCTGTGGTCTGACTATGGCGGGTGAAAATAAAGCCTCTCATCGTTGTCCCGGTTGCAGGTGGTCCGATGTCACCAGGTATCCCCTTCAAACCTGGCCGTCCATCGAATCCAGGTGGTCCTTCAAGAAACACATTATACATGTTGCAACACAAATAACCTCAAACTTATTCCAAAGTACTAATTTAAATGTTTGTGTATATCTGATAAGCCCCAAATATAGAAAGGAGCCACAGAATAGTGGCTTATAAAATGGTCAAACAATATTATTGAATGCTGAATAATGTCACACAATGCCTGTTATAGATACTGCATAATGTACATACATTGTATGTTACAAATACAATGCATGTGTATATCTTATGGGTGTTCTGAGATCAGGTCTTCTGCTTTGTATTTCCCTGTGGTGCCTAACACAGTGGTCTGCCTCTGGTAGGTCTTATGTACATCTTTTATGCATAAATCAGTGTATCCTACAATGGAAATAGAAGCCAAATATCTATGCTTTGAAAATCTATTCAAGAAGATAAATTACATAGATTTTTTCATAAATTCAATAAACATGGAAAACATTGACAGTTCCTTTCAAAGGTGCAAACTTCAAGAATGTTTTTGATCAATTAGTAAGGCAAGTAAAAACAAGACTTTTTCTTCTGTGATAAGAGTTTATATGAATTAAAACAAGAATACTTTTTTTACTTTGTAAATTTTCTCTGCATTTGAGTAAGCTAATTAATACACCTTTGTCACTACCATTTTTCTCATTCCTCCTGTTCTCCCTTTCTTCATCAAATACCCACTATTTATGAAACTGGCAGAGGCTAGCCACCCCCATCTCCCCTGATCCATTTCTGCTGCCACTGCACCCCGACCCTCCACTCCAACCTGATCTGGGTGATGGTTCTTTAGAATTCTAAGGACATGCAGAGCCAGCAGACACTTGGATTTTGGGCCTAGTGAGTCAAGGGAGGTATTGTTCCCCATAAACAACCAGGCCATGGAGTCAGGCAGTGTCCTAGTTTAGTCCTAATTATAAGTCAATCCTTTTCACAAGAATTTGGTAAAGTCCCAATATTATATATTTTTTTCAGTCTCCTCATTTCTATCTTCGGGGTCCATGGGTCAGTCTTTGAAATTAAAAAATAGACCATATCCAAATTCTTAAAAGTTGTCTTGAAAAGTTAGATTGCCATTGTTTTAAATATATCAGATAGAGAAGGTATCTTCACTGTTCCTAGCATCTACCCTCTTTTGCAGGGGGCTATCCCTGGCTCCAAGCAGAAGATCCCTTCAGGTCTCTGCACAGGAATTGTGAAGTGATTAGCTAAGCATGACAAGAAACTCAAGTGAGTGATTATGCAAGTCAGCATGATCTGAGGATATTCTGCATTTCCACGAAAGTCCAAGGCTTTCAGTTTAGACCAATGCTGTTTGACTCTTAGATCCCTTCCTCATTCTTAGGAGGTCTTTGGTAGCATTAGGACCAACTATGTCAACTTCAGTGGTTCCCAACCTTTTTTTGGCCATGCCCACCTAAGCATCTCTAAAATCCTGATGCCCCTCCCCCGTGTGACATATAATTCTTATTATTCAAAAAGTGAATAATTATTCACGTGGAGGAAGCCTAAAAGGCCATCAACTTGGTCTAAACAAGCTTCCAAAGAATATGGCATCCATGAAAGAGAAAAAAGAAAGGACAGTTGAAATACTGAGGAAGAAATCTCTAAGAAATTGTTAAAAAAGAATAGTAATATGAAGTGATATGAAAAAATAGCAAATAAAGTTTCAAAACATATAGAGAACTGAAATGCACAAATATGTCACAATATATATTTATATACTGTATAAACATATAAGGCCCCTGGAACCATAAGAAATGCCAAAAATTCACTGTTAATAACTCATTCTCAAATTGCCCCCTTCAAAAATCAAATTGCCCCCCTGTGGGGTGTGTGCCTCACGTTGGGAACCACCAGTCTACTTGATAATCATTCTCAGTACAATCTGTACTGTAGCACCTTTGCTCTTGCTGTGCTCCCATTCTGAAAGAACTAACTTGGTCAGTAAACTTTTTTTAATTAATAGAATTATTAGTAAGACTTTTTTTTTATTTACCAATTTAAAAAACATTTGAAGGAAAGTCAAATAAATAGTGCTCTAATGTACACTCATGACAATACTAAATTATGAGTTATTAAGAAATTGATATATGCCGAAGCCGGTTTGGCTCAGTGGATAGAGCGTTGGCCTGCGGACTGAAAGGTCCCGGGTTCGATTCCGGTCAAGGGCATGTACCTTGGTTGCGGGCACATCCCCAGTGGGAGATGTGCAGGAGGCAGCTGATCGATGTTTCTCTCTCATCGATGTTTCTAACTCTCTATCTCTCTCCCTTCCTCTCTGTAAAAAATCAATAAAATATATATAAAAAAAAGAAAAGAAATTGATATAGTTAACATTAGCATATTTGAATTTTTAAAGATTTAAATATCCAGTCTTTATAGCCTTATTATAATGGATCTGGGCATATAATTGGAAAAATCCCATTTAGAATTTTTTCTCATTTTAACAAAGTCAGCAATCCTAAAATATAAGATTTGGACATCTAGGTAGTTTGTAGGAAGTGCTTTTGAAACTTTTGCAGAAGGCAGATTTTGACCCAGGTGAAGATAAAGCTTATGTTCAGACTTAAATATTTAAGAGCCCCCCCCCTCCCCCCGAGTTATTGAGTTGTAGTCAAGAATGGCATAGTTAACACATGGCTTTCCTAAGTAAGAATACCGAGTTGCTCTTCTATTTATATCAAGATAATATTTCTCTTCTTGTATAAGATTCCCATAAGTAGATATTATTAACTAAGTACTCCTATAAATTAAAAACAGCACTGGCCTTTATGAAAATGGAATTAGTGCTTCATGAGGACTAAATGTCCTCAAACTAATTTGGTGTGTATTTGTCTAGTTAGGAGGTAAGGAACGTGGTATATTCCAGTAACTCTTGATTTTCATCTCCCAAATGAGTGTTTTGCTGCTGGTTTTTAGTCTAATTTGAACAGCACACACTGAAAGATCTAGATTATTATTGTGGTCACATATTCAAGTAAGACTTCTCTGTCTATTGAAAGAGCTCTCCAGCGAAGGCAATAAGCTAGCCGTTTACCTTGCTCTCCTTTAGAACCTTTGCTGCCTTTTTCTCCAATTGGTCCAGGAGTTCCAGGTTTTCCATCCTTGCCTGGTTTACCTCTTGGCCCACAGGGTCCTACACATAAAACAACAACAACAAAAAACAAAACAAAAAACCAACATCGTATTGAATAGTTCATATAGGATAAAAGGTAGGGTGGTCTGCCATCCAGTTTACCTGGGACGTCCCCAGTTTCAGCAGTGTAAGTGCTGCAAGCTGAGCAGAAGCTAAGCCTTGTGTAAACTGGGACAGTTGGTCATCCAATTTGTTACACCCTCGTTCCCAGGAAAAAAGGCCCCTTAGAAATGAACTAGGAGTTTATGAAATACAGCATTTTAAAACTGCTGCTATTTTGATTTATGCTGTTCCAGAACTCACTATGCCCTTGTATTGATCAAAGTAATATGTTATCTCCCAGGTGTCTCAAGCAAACTTAGAACATAATTCCATTCAGGAGACTATCACAATATGCTGAACCTATATAAAGGGGTTAGTTCAATTTTCATACACTAATACTAGTATTTTGAAAAGCTTTCATAAGATTAGCCTTACATTTGTATTTATTACTTTTCCAAGTGCTGTACAAAGCATTAGAAACGTACCAATACATAGAAGTCAGGTTTATTCAGGCAATCAGAAATAGAGCTCTAAGACAACAGTTGTTAGAGAAGACAGAATTCTTTTACCTTACTTAAAAAACAACATCCCTAAGTGCCCTAGAGTGTACTTACTTAAGTTTACACCATGCACAACAGCTTTCAATAGACTCAAAAGGCTTTATATTTGCTGGTCAAGACTAACATGAGCTCAAATTTGAAACCGATTATAAAAACCACTACAGTGTGTAACATTTCCTGTGAAGCACCGTTTGCTAGTTCAACTACTTCCTAGTGATCCAAGTCAGTGCTTCCGGTCCCACACCTGGGATTCCCGGTGGCCCTGGTGGCCCAGGTTCTCCTGGCATCCCTGGTCCTCCAGCTCTGCCCGGTGGCCCTGGACTTCCTGGAAGGGAGATGATCTTAACTGTGCCAGAGTCTCCACGTGCACCTATTGACATGAACATAAGGAGATGATGGCTTTATTGATGAGCTACCCTTTCTTCGTGGAGAGCAATACTAAGGCAGTAATATTTACCTTGTGGCCCTTTTGGCCCAGGTGGCCCTGGAGGTCCAATTTCTCCTGGAAATCCTGGATCACCCTTCTCTCCTTAAAACAAAGGGAGGGGGGTTGGGGAATGTGATTCCTCTTTTTTTAAATTTAATTTTTAAAAATTTATTTTTTTATTGATTAAGGTATTACATATGTGTCCTTATCTCCCCATTGCCCCCCACTCATGCCCTCACCCCCCTGTTGTCTGTGTCCATTGGTTAGGTTCATATGCATGTGTGATTCCTCTTAGAACAGTGGGTTTCCTAGCTAGATACTGGAAATTTTGACTGGAAGTTATAACTCTGTGACAGCCTGCAACAATGATATTCACATGGGTTTTGGCATGTCATTTGGACCCAATGTTTAATATCTATTGAAAAGTATATTCTATAAGTAAGCACTAAGGTTTTGTATTTTAGCATTGAAGGGGGGGGAGTTTCTAAGAGTTCACTAAGTTCAGAAAGCAATTCAATGTAATATTTAAGGTAAAATACAAAGTGACATTGAATCCTATTTCTAAATAAATAAAGTGTAAACTCAGTAGTGCCAGATGACAGATGGTCTTATTCTGAAATATGAGGGTGATTAAATGTTTCATGGAACATACACACTTTAACAGCTGATAGCTCAATTTTGAAAATGAGATGCATTTTAATAAACACTGCCTTTATAATTATTCCAAGTGTGTTTATACATTTATTGGGATACCCTATATTTAATAAGAGAACTGGATTGTATGACTCTCCCCTCTAAATACCTCTAAATATCTCCCCAGAATGTTTCTTTCGTGAGGCCTTTATGTAATTTTTCAATCCTTAGATATTCCTGTTGTGAGACTGGGGAAGTGACAGGTGGCACACATGTTTCCGGGCTGCCTGCCAGTAGTCGCCCACCCAATGTCTAATGAGACTCATCAGAATCACTTGCTTTGACTTATTCTTAGCTAATGTGCTCCTTGTGGAGTCAGTGATTGAAAACATGAACAAGGCTCTCTTTGAACTTCTTAGTCCTGGAAAAAGTCTTCCTTTGTGATAATGTGGCTGTATTCACTTTGGCTACACTTATTATTTAGCATCTTACAGTCTATAATAGATTCCCTGCCATACACAAAATAATAACGGGATTTAGCCAGCGAAGACAACAAATCCCATAGTCAAAAACTTATTTAAGGTGACAGCATCCTTATGGAAGATTGGAGAATTTCTAAAACCTGAAGCTTATATTTCTGGGGATGAACATTTTAAACTTAAAAATCCCCGAAGTATAGGTTTTTTTCTGATTAAAAACATAATATATGTGCCCCATAAAAAATGCTAAAACCTACATATAAAAATGTACTTACCCTCCCCGACTAATAAACAGTTTGATGAATATTCTTTTAGATTTTCAGCTTTTAAACTTGTAACACATGCACAAGGTAAAAGAAATAACCCAAGCAATGCTATTGCTATTAATGTAGGTCCCCAGCCCCCAACCCTCACACATCAGTACACTCAAAGGTAACCACTTTAAACTGTTTCTGTTTAGTTTTCCTATAGTTTCCACCTTTAAGGTATGGTTTTAATTTTTAAGCCCTCTTCTTCACTAACACTGAGGTCTTTTTTATTAAATCCTAACTGTCTGGGATGACTATGGGAGTTCAGTAAACATGTGTGTGACCTACACTGTGAATCTCAGTCATTGTATTTGCATCCAAAGAGCAGTGCACAAAACAGTACCTTTCATGCCTGGAAATCCTTGGAACCCAGGGTCACCTCTGGGCCCTGGCAGACCTGGAGTACCGGGGGCTCCCTATATTTCAAATAAAAGAGAGCAGAACCACAGACAAATTTTAAAAATCACAACATTCAAAGAAAATGGGATATAAATAGGATAGAATATGATAGGTAAGAATGAGCTGAGGTTAAGAGACATCATTTTAACTTTGCAATCACTGTTTCACCTCCTATAATTCCTCCGCCACCTACATATCTCCTTAAGACTATCGTTTTCAATAATAATAACTTAAAAAAAGAAATAAAAGGTAACCTTAAGCCCAAGACAAACATAACCTCCGATACTCATGAATGCGGTGTGACTATTGGATCCAATTGGATAGGAAGAGCAGGCACCAGACTGCTAGAATAAAAATTATAATTTGTATTTGTGATTCTTGTGAAGACAAGTTGTTGAACTGTAGCACCCATCGTCATTCTAACTAAGCCAGCAGAGTTATAAATTGGTCAGAGTGGTAGAAACAGTGTCCAAAGATGGGAGCATGAAGGGGTGGTTCGGGCAGTTCTGACATGCACTTTGGACAAGGATGCAATGATCTGCCCGGGAGGAGATGCTCCCTCCAATTAAGGCTTTACATGAATTTCTCTTGCAGCCATGAGATGCCCAAGCAAAGACATAGGAGGGGAGGGGGGAGCAGGGCTTCCAAAAAGAGCCATATGTCAGAATGTATGTTAAATCTACTCTACAGGGTCCATGTGAATGAGACAGCATGTGATTACTTGAAAACAGAGGACATGAAAAATGCCAAGAACAATAAGACTGCCCTGTGAGCCAACTGTCATTGGAGCAAGAAGACCAAACGAAGAAGCAGTCCTATTGCTTGGATAAGGCAGTGTGAGGTTAAAAAAAGGAGGGAGAGCAAACAGAACCATCTGATCCAGGACTCCCAGGCTTCTGAGGTCTGGCAGAGATAACCAGGGAGGAGGGCCCGGTGCCAGGCCCAGGCTTGGGTGGGGAGTGAGCTCTTCCAGGCAAGGAGAAAGCTGGTAAAGGCAGCCCGCCAGTTTAGACATCCATCAAGAAGAATTACCTTTCGAGTGCCAGTGTGGAAGCCTAGATCGTGGAACCACAGAAGGTTTAAGAGAGATCACATTTCCAAACCAGACTTTCCACGTCCCAGTGTCCTGGGGAGAACTTTTGATGTGAACATAGGGTCAGTGTTTGCCACTTTCAAAGAATCATGAAGAACACGAGGATACTCAGACTGAAGAAGGGCAAATATCTCACTTTTCAAATTAAAAAATTTAAATTTTTTTTTAAAAAGGTAGATTTTGGAAACCAAATACCAAGAGATCTTAAGAGAGCAGCATGATTCCTATGACAGAACTCTGATTCCTCATCAGTCTCCAAGAATTTGATGTAAACAGAGGAATCAGAAAGCTAGGAGGAGGGCTGAGGTGCTGAGTGAGAGGCTGAGTTGAGAGATAGTAATAGGCTGGGAGATGAGCCTAAATGAACAAAATGACATCTAAGAAAGGTAAATGTGAAAGTCCCACATTTAAGTCTCAAGTAAGCATGCAGGACAAGAACTAATGGAGAAAGCTTAATAGTAGTTCACGGGGGAAAGGCACATGGCCTTTCATTGACTGTAAGCTCAATGTGTGGGGACAAGATGGGGACGTGGCAGCCAAGCAGCCTGAGTGGATTTTAGGTTGTGTTACAAAGTGGGGATGTCAGGGTAGTGAGACTCTTCCCTCCTCCAGGCACGACCGAGTTCTCACTCCTGGATATTCTTTGTCCAGGGCCTGCATTTTTAAGGGAGATGTTGACAAACTAGGATATATCAATAGAGGCAGGGTTGATGAAAAGTTAAATTGAATTTGGGGGGGAAAAAGCAACACACACAGGTATTTATTGGGGGGAGAAAATATAGGGGTGGGCAAAAGTAGGTTTACAGTTATGAGTATGTAAAACAGTTTATTCTTGTATTATTTATTTATTAATTGTTGTATTTATTATTATTATTATTATTATTATTACTATTATTATTACTAACCTACTTTTGCCCACCCTTGTATTTGGAAGGAAATGGCAGGTATTTACAAACACTGCAGTGTATGTCATGGGAAGAAAATATACATTTAGGGGTAGCACACATAACTTCAAAAGCATATTAACAGAGACAAATCATGTTGTTTTCTAGAGCGATCCCAAACCCCTAGGTGTTTTTTGAAGCTTCCATAACTGGAGTTGTTCCGAATTGAAACAAGAAAAGGTCAGGAGTGACATAGAGAAGGGTTCCACATGGACCACACTTTAGGAGCCTCTTAGAAGCCAAATCTAATGCTTACAACTCTGGTCCTTTGAACCTCTGGACTCTGTCTTCTCCTGGGTGCACTGCACAGAAGCATGACAGATGGGAACATTTTGTAGCCTCTGTGCCTCTGATCCTGGCAATTGGTTTGGAAGACTACAAAAAGTCAAAATGATTTTCCACACTTACGGGAGGACCCGGTGGCCCTGTGTCTCCTATGGTTCCAGGTGGGCCTCTTGGGCCTGGCTCGCCCATAAGTCCCTTGTCTCCCTTTATGCCTTTGATGTGACTCCCCGGAGGTCCAGGGGGACCAGGCTCACCTGAATTCAGAAAGAGCCTGTCAGTACTGCATGCCGGGGAGCTCGGCAGGTTCTGTTGGCGATTCTTTGGAAGAGAGTGCAGACCCTGTTCCTGACCATTACCCTGAACAGTGTCCCCTTTGGGAGGGTGATGGGATTGTGGTCAAGACAGAAGAGATAATGCCAGTGAAGCACCTGGCACAAGGCAAGAACGGTTTCTCCCCAATGCAGGTCTGTGAGAGCAGGATCTTCTCCAGCTCCGTACCTGACACAGAGCAGGAGTCACTGGTGAATGGATGCATCTCTGTCTTTTAGGCTAATTTGGCATTTACCAATTTTACAGACCATCTGCCTCAACAATACCAACAGCTTTCGGGCACCCTGTGTGAAAACCGGTGGGTATGGGAAGGTGGAGAAGACCGGAGGGAAAAGAAGCAGTAAGGTCACACAAGGGGGAGTTGAAAGCTTCTGATGTTAAACATTATTTTCATTCTTTTATCTTCTTTAAAAGTAGACCCTCTACCTGGATTTCCTCTTGGGCCTGGTGGGCCTCGGTTTCCCTTTTGGCCAGGGATGATCGCACCAGGGAAACCTGGTGGCCCTGGGAATCCAGGCACTCCCGGGGGTCCTCGAGGCCCAACGTCTCCCACTGTCCCTTTCCTGCCGGGAAGGCCGGGAAAGCCTGGCGCTCCTCTGTCTCCTTTCGCTCCTGCAAAGGGAAAGGCTTTATAAGTTTCCGTAATGCCCCTATACTGGGAGTTATCATTTGTGGTTATCTCTAATAATGCGTTAAGACATATATATATATATATATATATATATATATATATATATATATATATATAATAAAAATAAGCTGGTAGAAGAAATGCAGGTCTCAAGTCAGTTCTGCCTTTGATTAGCCATTTGATCTTGGCAAAGGCACTTCACTTTGTCATATTCTTATTTTTAAAGTGAAGGTAGGACCTGACCTAGCTCAGGTCTTCAAGGACCCAGTGAGGTAATACATGGAAAAGTGAGATGGAAAAGCATGGTGTAAGGTCTAAAGTGTTCTGTAAATGTAAGCCATGATTGTTATTATCTGGTGAACTTTCAATAAAATGACATTATTTAATCACTGAAAACTCAGTAGAGCTCACAAAGCTAAAACTTCATGGCAAAGATGTGTGCATTGGAGGTGTCACCCAGCTCAGTCAGGGCAAAGGAACAACAAAGCTGTAATCCCGGCTCTGTCCTCTGGTTACTCCTCCCCCATACGGCAAACTCTACTCTGCAAGGGATGGATGTGGCAGGAGCTTTGGATTTACCAAGGAAGACCCCCAAAGGTCACTACTAAATAATAATATTTTTCAATAACCTTCAAGAACTTGTACATTGACATTCACAAATGGAAAAATGCTGTATAAGTTTAAAATAAACTCCCCCCTCTCTCCCATCTTTGTATTATTATAGAAACAGTAAGTGGCATAAAAATAGGAGACAGATATGATGGCAAGAAGACAAAGTGGGGATGAGGCTGCTGGCACAGGGAGGGCTTGGGAAGCTATTATGCAGGGAAGACAAAGTGAGGATGGAAATAAAATAGATGAATATTGACTATCTAGCCTTTTGTCTATCATGTTCTTTAGCTTTTGGATGTTTAGATGATTTCAGCTCACTCTAAGCTGTGAAATACTGTATTTGTACAATGGTCGGGCAATGGTCTGAGGCACCAAGTTGCTGTATTGGGTTATATATTCCAAGTCCATTCAAATTCTTCCTTGTTTTATGATATGGTTTCTTTTTAGGATTTGGGAGAATAAACTAATGAAAAGGATTCAGACCTTCCACGTTTCAAGGAACTCTTCTTCATATTTAGTTATCCTAGAGGGAATGAGGTACATAATCATTTACTTACATACACAATTAGGCTATTTGTTATTTTTGACTCTTTTTTAAAGCTTAAGATGTGGTCATTTTATATCAAATTTTATTTCTAAATAAATGCTAAAGATTCCTCATTCCAAATGGTTAAATTGGGAATTTAGCCCAGGAAAATGAACAGAAACTCTCCTTTTGGACATAATTCTAAAACTCGTCTGTGACCTAGACTGGGAAAGCTTTTTGCTCATGGGGGAGGGAAGTGTGTGAGAGAACGTGGGGATATTGAACTCATCCGAAAAGTTGATCACATCATCCAGAAACAAACAGGAAGGGGCAGCTTTTGTCTATGTTCACAGTTGAGCTGGTAGGTCAAGAGGAAGTTCCTGCCACTCTGAGTTTCTCAGTAGCATCAGACTACTTCTTGCTGGTTCTTGTGAGTATTAATAACCAGGGTTTAGGTGTCTTTGCTAATAAAATTCTCAAATCCACAGGACCCATGGCTAAGAAGGGTCAATAAAAGATACAAGTAAGCTAATGTTTCTTCTGGCAGGTTTCTCTACAAAATGGGAAAACTTAAGCTGCTTATTTTATGAAACACTGGCACGAGAAATTCAGAACTACAGTTGTCCAATGAAAAACTTGTGTGTACTTTGAATGATCAGTGGATAGAGCGTCGGCCTGTGGACTCAAGGGTCCCAGGTTCGATACCAGTCAAGGGAATGTACCTTGGTTGCAGGCACATCCCCAGTAGGGGGTGTGCAGGAAGCAACTGATCGATGTTTCTCTCTCATCGATGTTTCTAACTCTCTATCCCTCTCCCTTCCTCTCTGTAAAAAATCAATAAAATATATTTATAAAAAAAAGAAAAAAAAAAAGAAAAACTTGTGTGTGCTTTGAATGATATGCTCAGTAAATTGCCAGGTCTGAGATGTTAACAGAATTTATCAAGAGTAGCACCACCCATAAGCTGGCTCTGGGGGTTGGAATCAGAGCTGTGAAGATGATAAGGTGGGAAATGGTTGGCATTATTCCTGCATCTAAGAAGAGCTGGGAGGGATGCTCATTGAGAAGCCACCAATTTCATCTTCTCCTTTTAGGAAATGATGCCTTTAAAACATGCTGTCAACAACAAAGCAAATAGATAAGAAGCCTTTTTATTTTTAAAGACTTCCATAGCAGGAAATCCTGAAATTGGATCACAGTTTCTAATTCATTCACTTTGTGGTAATGGTAATAATGAAGCATTTTTACTTGAATACGAAGAATAGAAACATCCTATTTTACCACTGGGACTCCTTTAATTCCATATGTTTTTATTTTATAGATCAAGTATATTGCATTGGATTCTGTCCTTGAACCTGTAAGTCACAGGGCCAAGAAGGAAGAACTGCTCACCTTGAACACCAGGTTTCCCTTTTGGGCCTGGAAGTGCCCCCAGCAAACCTGAAAGAGGTAATTTTGGCATATTAATATTTTACATGTGGTTGATTTCATTATGTAGATATGATTCATTCTACTAGGTCAATTTAACCTTGGCAATAAAAGGAAGTTTAAATGATCACACACCCAGAACATGTTAAAGATTGTTCTGTCAGAAAAGAATCTCTAGAGCAGTGAAGGGTTACTAATTATTAACTACTAATTAATAATTAGTGTCACTAATTACTTCATGCAAAATAAAACTAGTGGATCTAAGATAATGAGCAAGTTGTACCAGTTTCTCCCTTTTCTCCTGGTGGGCCAGGAATCCCATCGCATCCTTGGTCTCCTCTCATACCCATGGGTCCAGGGTTTCCTGGGAATCCTGGAGGGCCTGAAAAAAAAAAAGTCATTCAAAGAGAGAACTTCCTGTCAATGGCCTAATGTGCCAGATGTGTAATTCTGGTAAAAGTGTTTATTTTGCAGAACTGTAGTTCTCTGCAGCTAACTTCACAATGAAAGCTATGAACAGACTAATACAATCCTGGGGATTATCACTTTGGAATGTCTAGGTTGGCAGACCTTTGAATTAGGTATAAATAGCTAGCCTCACTCTTCTGCATTTCTGCCTGAGGACTGAGTAACTGGAGGCTACCTTCTAAAGAGCAGTCGTGGATCAAAGCTACAGCTAAGCAGAGGTTCAAACTCAGGGGAACATGCTTCCCTCAGGAAAGGGCGATAGACAATAGACAAAGTAGAAAAGGAACCTTTTGTTCCTGGAAATCCAGGGAAGCCTTTCATTCCTTTCGACCCCATGTCACCATCAGGACCCGGCTTTCCTATAAATGGAGAGAGAGGGAAAGGACAAAAAATACTGAAAGATAAATGGTTACATTGGCTGAAATGGTCGGTTCTTACAGTCAACTGTGCTCACGCTGGTGTTCACGTGACTTGTACCCATTACCTCAGGCTTTTTCTTGGGTGCTGCTTCCCTAGAGAAGCACAGCAATGTGTTGAATCACTTTGAAGGGTGTGCATACAGCAATCACATGGGCCACTCGATACCTGACTTATTGCTTTAATTGAGAATTAACGGCAAATCTATGGCACCTTTTAGTGTTTGAAATGATAATTTAAATGGTATCTGTAAGTAAGACCTGCGGCTGCAACCCAGTAGCTTAGCAGTTGATTGTAGTAAAGCAAAACAAAAACTGAATCCTGAATTATAAGCAAATAAAAACGAAAGCCAAATTTGACCTTGAAACATGTCAGAAAAATGAAACCACAACAGTGTTATGGGTTGAATTGTGTTGCTTCCTAATTTATATGTTGGAGTCCTAACCCTCAATATTTCAGAATATCACTCTACTTGGAGACAGGGTCTTTAAAGAAGCGGTTAGATTAAGATGAGGTCACTAGGGTGGGCTCTACTCCAACATGACTGGTGTCTTTATAAGGAGAGGCTATTTGGACACAGACACAGAGGACAGACACGGGGGAAGGTGGCCCTCTATGAGTCAAGGAGAAAGGCTTCAGAAGAAATCAAACTTGCCGATACCTTGATCTCAAACTTCTAGCCTACAGAATTGTGAGAAAATAAATTTCCATCTGTTGTTTGTTATGGGAAACCTAGAAAACTGATACAACCATCATAAGATTGGACAACGAACTAACATTTCACGTCTTTAGGCTGAGCTCCTCAGAAATTTTGGGGAGCACCTCAGAAGTTTTGTTTACGGGAGCAGCTTTTTAGATCTCAGTCCACCAAACTGGCTCATCGGCAAGTAAGGCTTCTCTTGATTAATCTTCTACTCCTTAGTGTCTTAGAATTTGAAGATCAAAGTTGAATAAAAGCAATTATAATACAAAAACCTAAATAGCTTTCTGTCTACAGAGACGATTCTAGGCAGTGAGAGCCATGCTTTCTGCTCTCAGAGTAAAGCCCATGCTCACCTGGGTGGCCGGGACTTCCAGGATGTCCAGGGACTCCGTCAGGTCCAGCAGGCCCTGAATATCCAGGTGGCCCAGGTGGCCCTCTTTCTCCTTTCATTCCCACGACACCTGGCAATCCTGGTTCTCCCTTAAATTCAGTCAAACACCTTTAAAATTCTCATATAAGCAGGGTATGTGATCAGAATGAAGTATAAACTATATTTGTTTGCATTTATTTATTATTATTAACACTAGAGGCCCAGTGCATGAAATTCGTGCACTGGTAGGGTCCCTAGCTGCTGCTGGCCGGGTACTCCCTCCCTTCCCCCAGCTGCCAGCCGGCCCTGCCCCCTGGTCAAACTCCTAGACGAACTCCTGGTTGAGGGGACAATTTGCATACTACGCTTTTACTATATAGGAATATTATTTAGCTAGTTAGTTAGCAATTCATACTGAGTATCTGCTGTGTGCCAGTACTGTGACAGGTGTTTGGAAAAGGGGGCTACATGTTTTGTGGGGCCCATCCCAAAATGAATATTCAGTTCCCTTTTACAAAATGGGAAAGCAATTCAAGACAGTGACATCAAAGCATTGAACCAAGTGTGCCGTCCTTCTTAGCACCCAACCTCCGTGACTACATGGGTCACACACCTACAAAGCTGGCTCTCACCAGGAATATAATAACCATATACACATGTGTGATATATACAGTCCCTGCTTCATGGAGCTTTAGAGACCAGTGGGGAGATAGGAAATAATCACACAAAGGTATAATTTCAACTTGTGATGATTAACTCAGGAGTAGGAAAGAAATAGACCAAATGAATATATGTTCTACAGATATTATGCATGCCGATAAGTGCATGTCAATCATATGTAAAAGAAAGCAAAATCTTCATTACATCTGTACTTCAATTTTATGATAAACCAACACGTATGGAGTTGGTGGTTACTTACAAAATCTCCATAGTAATTGATTAAAATATACTACTCTGTTACTATGATTTGCCAGTCTGATAAAATGAGCCCATTTTTTTGTTCAATGCATAGTTCTGAACATCTCTTCTGTGGTTACCTATGAAAACCCTAAATCTAAGTGAAACAATTAATTGAATGTGAATCAAGTATAAGACAATTCCTCACTGAGAAAATATCTCAGTGGAAACGGTGTCTCCCTGGTTTTCTGAGGACCTAATCTAAAAATCAAGGGCAAAGGAAATTTATTTGTGCTCCAAGTAATAAAGGGTTGCTTTCTTGGGTCTGTGTGGCTTCTAAATATTTTCTTTTATGTTGTTTTAGTAATTACCACTGGAGAACATGATTGGTGGAAATCTTTAGGAAAGGTAATATTTTATTGGCTCAAAATTGTCAGGGAAAAGGCCCCCTAAGCAACAAGTTTTATATATTTGAGAGTCATATACTTTTGAAAGTCTGATAAAAATGTAGACTCTCCCCTACAAAAATTTGCATTCATTTTACATTCAATTTCAGGAGATTAGTAGACTTCTTCAGGTTCCATAGATGCATGGAAATCCATGTTAAAACCCCTGCTTATGGGAATTTATATTAACCATTCTCTAGTGATCTAGCTCTGGCTTTTATTGTAAGTACACACAGAAAGATTGGAAGGAAATGAACCTAAAAAACCCAGCTGAGCCCCATGGAAATGTTTGGTGAAATGTTTGGTTGTTACTTGGTACAACATGCTAGCAAGGGCTTCAACCTCTAATTAACGGCACAAGCGCTGAGAGCATTGAGACAAGATACAATTCTGTGTAATGGAATGAAAGTATAGTTCTAAAACAATTAAAATACAAGTATGTATCTTAGGATTTTGTCTGCTTTTTGATGATGCTCTAAAGTTATTTTACTTTATATCTTTTATTACAGTTTAATAAGTCAAATGTTTTTTATTATAAGGTTTGGAAATTTATTTTTATAAGTCTGTGTGAGGTGAGTCCACAGCAGAGACTGGCTACTTTGTGTCACAGAAAACAAACACTGCCCTGGCAGATTGTGTGAGTCACTTATCACTGCCCCCTTCTGGCAGCACACTGAAATTGCAGGGACAATTATGAGAAATTCCTTGAGAGTTGAAACTGACAGGAATACATTAAGAAGTTGACAGCTGTGTAATAGGCATCTTCAGTTGTGAAGACAGGATTAAAGAGAACCCAAATGCCTACCTGAAAATATAATAATATTTAAAATGTTCTCTGCTCACATTGAATCCAATAGTTGTTGGTATTTAAAGGGACTCACCCCACCACCAAAATGTAAGTACTTCACTGGCCGATATACCTTGGGTCCTGGTGGTCCTGGCCTTGTGCCTTCTGAATAACCTGGCTCTCCCTTATCTCCTTGGAAACCATGAATACCTGGGAAGCCTGTTTTTCCAGGGAGACCTGGGAGTCCCAAAGTTCCTCTCTTTCCTTTGGACCCTGAAATTAGGAAAGAAATCAGATAAAAGAGGTAAACACAGGGATCTCGAAGTGTTCTACTTCCTGCCTTTGCACAAACCACCTTTCTTTTAGGAAGCTGACTTTTCGGTATCACTAATATACCAGGTAGTCATAATGGATTATTTTTACACAATGTAAATATTATTTTGTTCTCACTAGTGTTCTAGTTGCACATAGTGCATTTGTCTGAAAGTAAATCTAGTTGTATTACACCAACTTTCTAAGAAATGGGAAATCAAAACAACAAAAAATCCAGAACTGGGATCCATCATAAGCTTGTAAGCTCATAGCAGGATCTTATACATTACCTGGGAACCCCATGTTCCCCATGCTTCCTGGCACTCCAGGGGGGCCTGGTTCTCCAGGATTCCCATTGCTTCCAGGATCTCCTCTGGGGCCTTGAGAAGAAATAAACAGTCATGTGCCCTGCATAGTTCCTGGACACAAGCTGCTCAATAAATATTGGTTGCCTGCATGAATTTATGTATCCAGAGCAGCCAGGCCAGTTGGTTTAAGTACTTGCTAGCTGCCTTTTTGCCTTCATATAAGGAGGGGACTGAGGACCCAGACACGTAAACTTAGAGAAAGTTAGGTTCTTGTCAGCAGGCTTTGATTTTGAATATCAAAATCATCCTAGGACCAACGCAGGGAAGTAATAGATTTCTACACTGAACATTTATTGCCAGTTAATATATTTTGATGGGATCGCAGAGAATAAGGTGGCTACTTTATTTTTTTAAAATATTTTATTGATTTTTTACAGAGGGGAAGGGAGAGGGATAGAGAGTTAGAAACATCGATGAGAGAGAAACATCGATCAGCTGCCTCCTGCACACCCCCTACTGGGGATGTGCCTGCAACCAAGGTACATGCCCTTGACCTGAATCGAACCTGGGACCCTTGAGTCCGCAGGCTGATGCTCTATCCACTGAGCCAAACCGGTTAGGGCTAAGGTGGCTACTTTAATTGTTCAAAAAATTAGTTTGCAAACTCAATAACCTGATTAAAAAAGAAAGAGGCAAATTTGAAAACCTCTAAAGCATTATCTAGTTTTCTTCTATGATATGTAATATTGTGATAAATTAAAGTTTACAATACATATTAGTAGTTTCAAAATAACATTTTTAGTACAAAAATGGAACTTTGTGCATATTAATATTTTTTAGTTAATACAGGCTAACTATACACACCTTCATTTTGGTTTAATTTAGGAGCAAATTTCTGTTAGAAGACTATTAGAGCAGGATTCACATTCATACCAGAAAGTCTAGAAACACATTTTTGTTACATTTAGATTTAGGGAAACTTAAAGCCTGATATTTCTATTAGCAAGTCCACTGTACCTGATGGTCCTGGCGGACCAGGTGGCCCTTTGAGTCCTTCTAAACCTGGTAACCCGGGAATGCCTCTGTTTCCTTTCTCACCCGGCTGTCCTGTAAACCCTAAAGTGAAACAATGTATTAAAAATACAGGTTAGAATTTTATCAGAGTTATCCACATCCTGATTAACATTGATGTGATATTGTTATAATAGGATATAGGATATTTGTTAAGAGAATGGGCCAATGTGGACTTACCTCTTTTTAAAAACAGGATTAAATGAGAATATTAGCACAGTAGCTGGCATGAGTGAGCTCTCAAACAAAACCAGCAATTAACAAACATTATAAGAATTAGTGGCCTAAATAGAATTTCTTCTTGCTTTATCTTAGTGATGCCAGAGGACCATGTTTGTATCTACACTATCCCATTCTCAGTCCATTTATTATAACTATGGTGTATTAACTAATTAGCATATGACAGACACTATTCTCTTTTATTTATCTTATTTAATCTGCAGGCAATCTCAGTCTATCCTCAAGCCTCCCCAGATAGAGTGCAGAGATGAGAAAACTGGTCTAAGAAGTCAACGGACTAAGCTAGAGGCGCCCTGTCCATCAGTCGTAGTGTTGGGACTTGAACCCAGTTCCACAGGCGGGAGAACTCATAAACTTCCCACAACACTGTCTTGCTTTTGTAGAACACGGCTTTGATCACACTATTTTCCAGATCAAAAATATTACTCACTGTCTTTTCATATATACACCTGCGTCTCCCCTGCAGACTCCTTTAGGAGAGGGCCACAGTGGTGCTTACCTGCACCCTCAATACCTCATCCGTTTGCAGAGGATGCCTTTGAGTCTTTGAGAAATTAAGATTTCAAAAATGGGTTGTATTTAAATTAAAGAGGCCTACAGCACCTTGTGCAGAATTTGTTAAGCAAATCTTTATCCATCCTTATGTTATAAGCATAAAAATATTTCTTGACTACAATCCCACTTCTCAAAATGTGTTACTAATTACTCAACACAATATGGTTTTGCAAATGAAGATGTACACTTTTCTTTATTGTTCCCTGCTATGAAAGCTTAATCTGCAAATATTTCATTTTACCCAGCAATTCTCTTTTTTTCTAAAATTACTTGGGATTAAAATTGGTCAAGGAGACCGTAAGGCAGGCTTTCTTAAAATGGATAAAACACTCTTCTCCAAAGGATTTTGAGCATGAGAAGCAATTTGGGATGCAAATGAGAAAAATTAATCCTGACGGCTGATGGAATATAGTGGAATGTGGGGTGGAGGTTTCTATTTCAGGCGGGAAGATTTTTATGTGGAACTTCCTAAGGGTTTATTTTTCAACTTACTTGGCAAATAGGGCTTTTGAGACTTACGGTTTAAAAACTGACTAGGGAAAATTTAAAAACAGCTGACCAAAATGCAAAGTGCACTTAGATATAAAGAGTTATGCATTAAAGAGGCAACATATTATTGTGCAAGGCACATGAGACCCAGTTCTAGTTCAGGCTTGGGCCACCAACTGGCTATGGGACTGTGGACAGGACACTAAACACTGGCCCTCACTGTTCTCAATTGCCAACTGGAAGGGTTTGCCTGGATAATTCTCAGTTTTAGAATCAGCTCTGATGTTCTGGTTCTAAATGTAAGGCAGTCTGTACCTTTGAGGCCTGGTTCTCCTTTGTCCCCCTTTAAGTGAGATATTTGAGAAGGCCCGGGAAGTCCTTTAGCTCCTTTCTCCCCCTTGGCTCCTGGGGGTCCTCTCTCACCCTTTGCTCCTGGGATTCCAAAGCTACCTGTAAGACAGGAGTAACCACAGCAGTTCCTTAATTCTTTAAGTCGTTCATAAGGATGCAAAAGTTAACAGTGCTTACCATAAAACAAAACAAACAAGCCAAAACACTTGACAGTGCTGAGACCTTCATAAATAGTTTCCTAAAACAGCCTGTAGGGAAAAAAATGATCCTGTTCAAATGGGAAAAAGGAAAACAGGAAACAGCAAAATCAAATACATGGTTTCCTCAGAACTAGTTTCCCCTCAGAGAATAAAACATAACTTATGTTGCTGTTCCTTCCGCCTGATAACTGGAAAGCTCTTCCATCACTCACCCTTCTGTCCTGGGGAGCCTGGGGTCCCAGGAGGCCCCGGAAGGCCAATGTTGCCCGGGTAGCCCATCATCCCAATGGTTCCTCTTTCACCTGTCGAAACAAGTAACACAAAGCATATTCAGAATGAGAAAAGCAAGTGCTTTCTCCACAAAATAAATTATACTTAGAAGGAGAAAGTGGGAGCTGAAGGAATGGTTTCTGTAAATAAGAAAATAACCATAATTGTCTAGGAGATGGGTCAGTAACCAGTCTCTTATTACATCATGTATGTGGAAGTCATTGGTAGCAGATCACATTTGTGGATAAGAATAGAATATGTGTATGTCTTGGACTATTCCTCCTCCCCATCCAAGACCAATAGCTCATTTTATTTTCTTCATAGCTGTTGTCTAGAGTTGAACTTATAACTAATGTATTTATTATTGTCTCACTCACTGTCAGAGGTGGAACTTGTCCATTGATATGTCCCTAGGGCCTAGAACAGTGCTGGCATGTGATAACAGCTCAATCATATGAATGAAAGGATAACTTGCAGATTAAGTTGTTACCTCTGCTCTTCTCTAGAGGAAAGGTCAGTGAGGTTACATGCCAGGAGAATATTGGAATATTCTTCTGAAACATATTAACTGTCAACACAATGATGAGATAAAATGGACTATAAGGGAATGCTATGAATAACCATATGCCAGCAAATTAGATAAACTACAGAAAATGGACAAACTCCTAGAGATGCCCAGATTACCAAAACTGACTCAAGAGGAAATAGAAAATCTGTTTAGACCCATAACAAATGAATAAATTGAATTAGTAATTTATAAAATTATCACAAAGAAAAGCCCAGAACTGGATCACTTCACTGATGAATTCTACCAAACATTAAAAAAAATATATACCTTTTCCACAAACTCTTCTAGAAAATGTAAGAGGAGAGTTAACTTCCCATCTTGTTCTATAAGACCAGCATTACCCTGACACCAAAACTAGGAAGAAACATCATAAGAAAAGAAAAAAGACAGGCCCCTTTCCCTTGCAAATACAGATGCAAAAATTCTCAACAAAATACTAGCAAATCTATTTTAGTAGTAACATATAAAAAGGATTACACAGCAAAAATAATCATTAGTTTCAGTGGAATACCTGAAACTAATATGATATTATATGTCAACTGTAATTGAAAAATAAAAATAAATAAATAAAAGCAGAAGAAAATACCTGGTGGCCCTAAAAATCCTGGGTTTCCTGGATATCCTTTTTGACCAGGTGGTCCCATCTCGCCTTGATGACCTGGCATTCCTGGTGGTCCAGGTTCTCCAGGCAGTCCTGACCTATCCAAACCTGGAATCCCTGGGTCTCCCTTTGGTCCTGCTTCACCTTTTTTGCCTATATGTGAATGAATGAATGAAATAAAGGAATGAACACACAAGTGCTTTCCCCACCGACTCCAGAAATATTTTATGGCTGTAAATATTTAGCTTTGTGATTTGGGGCTAAATAAAACACATACTCATCGGATGGATGGATTGATTGGTTGGTTAATGTCCCCTCCTATAAAATTTTTAAGATCTCTTCTGGCTTTAGCATTCTCTGTTTCAATGACTCTTGTAGTAATAAAAATGTAAAATTTAGATCTATTTTCTAGCTCTGCTGGCACATCCTGGGACTGCACTTAATGACTTTGCCTTAGTCTTGAACTTACAGAACACATTCAGTGCCACTCACCATGCATGAGTCCTCACTGTAACAAATCCATGACAACAAGGTTTATGTTTCATACCAGTTCCCATGAGCAGTGGTCAGGACTTGCTGCTGGACAGTTCCAGAGTTAAACAGCAAAGCACCTAGCAGGAGTCCCAGGCCACTTGCCCATCTAGGACTGGTTTTGAGGCCCTCCTCTTACCTTGTTGCCCTTTCAATCCATTTAAGCCTGGAAGTCCTTGGGGTCCCCTGGGACCCTCTGTGCATCTCCCTGAGAGTCCTTTTTCTCCAGGTGGTCCAGGCTTCCCTGGATCCCCTGCAAAAGAGAGTCCAAGAATATATTCCGGGGCCAAAATCCAAGGTCCTAGAATTGCTATCCCAAGTATTCTCCTGTAAACCCCCCCCCCTAAATTGGGCCAATATTTATTATCATTAATATGTCTTATACAGAGAACACTCATTAAGAAGGAAAGAAGGAACAAATAAGGGAAGAAGGAACAAAGGTAGAGCAACAATGTTGAGTGGAGAAATAATTAAGCTCCACAGATTCTATTTATTCATCTAGAACTTTGTTTGAGAATTCTTCACCCCTAGAGCACCTACACATTCAATTTGTTGCATTTTAGCAAAGCTCACAGTGGAGAAAAGTACCTCGTGGTCCATCAAGCCCTCCAGTTCCTGGAATTCCAGGGAGACCTGGAAGTCCAGGGAGTCCAATTGCTCCATTTTCCCCAGAATTGCCTCTTTCTCCTGGAAAACCTGGTGTTCCTGGTTCTCCAGGCATGGCTAGTCCTGGTTCTCCCTGTGGCACAGAAATGGTGTTAGTTTTACTATATAATGCTTCTAGATACTTATTGACTACTAGTGGCCTGGTGCATGGATTCATGCACATTGAAAAGAAATTAATTAGAAGAAAGATTCGTGTGGTAATTACGTTACAGCAAAAATTACATGTCAAAATAGTATATATAATATAGTATTATAAAATTAAAACACATGTGTGATTGGCGCCTGCGGGAGCTTTATATGTATCACACATGTGTGAGTCAACATCTATTTTTAAATTTCCAGTGCACGTCATATGTACCGGCCTGTCAGATGTATGTACGGTCAGTCACTTAGCCTTTTATACATAGAGACTGGCTTGTCTTTAGGGCTATTTACTTGAAGATAACATATTCATTATGGAGATCCTAAGTACTTTTTTTCACAGTCACCACCATTCTATCAACTCTCCTTTTTCAACTCTAGTTGCTGACTTTTCTATAAATTTATGCATAATAATTCTTTAGATCCCCTACTTTTTCATAATACTGTGGGATTTTCTGTAACAATCTAGATGTCTCTATGCTTGAGTTTTCTTATAACTATCCACGTTTCTTTCTAGAGTTCTTCCATTTTCTTTTTAAAAAAAATATTTTATTGATTTTTTACAGAGAGGAAGGGAGAGGGATAGAGAGTTAGAAACATCGATGAGAGAAACATCGATCAGCTGCCTCCTGCACATCTCCTACTGGGGATGTGCCTGCAACCAAGGTACATGCCCTTGACCAGAATCGAACCTGGGACCTTTCAGTCCGCAGGCTGATGCTCTATCCACTGAGCCAAACCCGTTAGGGCAAGTTCTCCCATTTTAAATATGTATGTTTCTGAAGGTTAAGGAAGAAATAGAAAGGCAAACCTGTCTTAACACTTTCTGTTTTCCTTTCTAAAAGGGAGGAATAGTTAAAAAAACTTAAAAAAATTCATCTGCTTTATCATTTACAAGTATATTGATAATTTCTACACAGAGCATCCTGACTGGCAGGAACATCCTAACGGGCCAACTGTAATTGTTCCTCCTCTTCCCCATTTCAGTCTGAATTTTAATTCTCAAAGACCTTGGCTCCTGGGAGGCCTGGACTTCCAGGTAACCCTGGCTTTCCCATTTCTCCAGGACAACCTGGTGATCCTTTAGTTCCCGGAGGACCTCGGTCTCCTACAGGGAAAAAAAAATAAAGGTTGCATGATTAGTCTTGTTAAAAGATTTGGGGCAGTATCTCTTTTATTTTACCTTATGTCATGAGGCAAGTAGCTATAAATGTTTTATGGAAGTTTGAGTGATGAAAAAGCTAATGGCTAAATTAGCAATTTTTAAAAATTCAATTCCAAATCAGATTACATTGGTTCCCAATTTTTAAAATTACCTTCTCCATTTTTGTTGTTTAACATCACTACAATTTTGATTCAGTATTTTTTAAACCACTGATCTCAGTTGACCATTGGATGGACTTTTTCTTTAAGAAGCATATTTTACATTCAATATATAGCCAAATACATATTTATATACATACACACACACACACACACACACACACACACACACACACACACACCCCATATCAAGATATAAAGCATTTCCAGTACCTACCTATCCTTTCTCACCATGGGTTGCTCAAGAGAATTACTTCCTAATGCCCTATAGCAGCCACTGAATGTAATGAGTTAACTTGTCTCTTTTGCTTTATGACGAGAGAATTGAGAAAGAAGTCACACACATCATTTTTTTCTGTTCTGTGGTTCAGAAGAGGAAACCCTGGGTGGAGCAAAGCTGCCTTCAGAGAGTTCCTTTATGCCCCTAATTTGACCAAATTTTAATTAACGGTTAGTTTATGGGCTTCATTAGGTTTAAATGGGAAATTCGGACTCTCTTGTTTCCAGGAGCTCTTAGGCTAGTCCTGGTGCCCAGTTTGGAGTCTCCTTCATGAAGGTGATTCCAGAGGGGATACAGCCAGGAGGCAATTTTCTTCATTCAGGGTCCAGGAAGGACGAGGCAAAAACGTGGGCCAGGCTGGGTTGCTTCAGAGGTCACTGGCAAGGAATTTAGTCAAAGACATTCTTGGGACCACATGAAAAATCTGATTAGGTTTTTCATTTCAAGTACATACTCATAAATTGAGATCAATATTCCCATGTTTGGGCAGAACTGATGCATGGTAAACACTGATGATACATTAATTTAAGAGATAAAGCACCAAAAAAGGATTACTATTTCTTTTTTTTGAGTTATTTTATTGAATTTATTGGGTGACATTGGTTCACAAAACCATACAGGTTTCAATAAACATCTGCATGCTGCATTGTGCACCCACCAAAGTCTCTTTCCATCCCCATTGTCTCCCAATTTGCCCACCTCTACCTAGGCCCCATTCCCTTTTTCTCTGGCTCTTACCACACTGTTGTCTATATATTTTGTATATATGATTTTTGGCTAATCCCTTCATCTTCTTTCATCCAGTTGCCCTGCCCCTTTCCCTCCAACAGTTGTCAGCCTGTTCCATGTATCCACACCTCTGTTTCTATTTTGCTCATAAGTTTATTTTGTTCATTAGATTCCACATAATAGTGAGATCATATGGTATTTGTCTTCATCTGAATGGCTGATTTCACTTAGCATAATAATCTCGGATTATTTCAACAAACACCTTAAATAATACTGAAAAAAACATGAAATTATTATAAAACCTGAAATTGTATGCAACAGCCCAGTGACTGAGGTTATTCATATATCACCCCAGATAAGACTTGATGTGTGTGTGTGTGTGTGTGTGTGTGTGTGTGTGTGTGTGTGCACTTGTCAGTGGGGAGCCGCTGCATTTCTTTGGAGAGTTTTCCCTTTGATGAGAAACAGCATCTTTTTTTCCTAAAGAAAAATAACTTCTGTGGTTTATTTTGGAGTGAATGGGGAAATCAGCTGTGTGTGATTTAATATTCTTTTTTATTATAAGAGAAATGCACAAAGTGAAGAAATGTATAAATTAAAAAGTGTAGGCATCTATTCAGAAGTAAAGAAAGAATTCCTCACAATCCCACTATCAAGAAGAATCACTTTGGTGAATTTTTATGCATTTAAAAATATGATTGAGATGAGGCTGCATAAATCAATGTGAACTCTCTCTTTTTATCTATCGTCATTGTAGGATATTTTCCCCATTTAAGACTGATGAAAGACATCATTTTAAAGGATAGTATGCATATTTCCTATGTTATTCACTATACATATTTATAGTTTCTAAATATCCACAATGAACCTTATGTTTTAAAATTTTTTAACTTACCCTTAGGTCCAGGAGGCCCAGGGAATCCAATTCCTGGAATTCCTGGATCTCCGTCAGGCCCAGGAATACCTGGTTCACATTTTCCTGTTTGTCCCGGGAAGCCTTAACAACACATATACATCCACATCAGCAACTTTCCTTTATATTGCCTTATAACCAAATGTCTAAGTTTCTGTGTCATCCCAGACATTTTTGGAAGTTAAAAAAAGAATTTACACAACCCTGACTTCCTCCCCTTCCTATCCAATGGGCTAATCATTAGGAACTACAAATAATTTTGAAAATATAATTTATCTCCTAGAATTTTTCTAAATATCTTAAATCATATAAGTCTCCCTCCATTCATATTGGCAAAGAAGTTAAGTTTTCCAATGAAGAAGCCATGGGAACTATAGTAATCGCGGGCACCCAGTCCTTGCTCCTCCACCAAAATCCATGAAGACTGTTCTGCTCATGAATTCCTCTTTTTTTTAAAATTTTTTTAAAAATATATTTTATTGATTTACTACATAGAGGAAGGGAGAGGAATGGAGAGTTAGAAACATTGATGAGAGAGAAACATCGATCAGCTGTCTCCGGCACACCCCACACTGGGGATGTGCCCGCAACCAAGGTACATGCCCTTGATCGGAATCGAACCTGGGACCCTTGCATCCGCAGGCCGATGCTCTATCCACTGAGCCAAACCAGTCAGGGCATGAATTCCTCTTAAGTAACTATTTCAACTCCCTTTTGGAATCAGAAGCACCAATGGGAATAATCTGGGTAACTTCAAAAGACAAGAGCAAGTCCCCTGTCTGTTGCCTTGTCATCTGACAGACTGGCCTGTGCTCTCTTTGGGAGCCAATGAATATAATTTTTCCTTAAAACTGGAACAGTGTTTTCCCAGGGAAGTCTGGTGCTATCTGATGCCAGGCACCCGACTTGGCAAAGAGGATACTTACCAGGTGGACCGCGGGGGCCAGCATGGCCTGGCAGCCCTGGTGGTCCTGGGAGCCCTGGGACTGGTGTTGAAACACTGAATTCTCCCCTAGGGCCTTAAGAAGATTTATGATCATAAAATCAGTGTGCATATTGAAGCTTTTTCTTGGTTCAGAGGAAAAATATATGATAGGATAATAAAGGGTTTACAGACATATTCCAAGAAATATGAAGAATAGTCTCGGCAAAATTGGCTTAACGGTGACTAGCCCATAGGAACTTTTTAACTTAATTGATAAATATTTATAAGCATCTATTATTGTCTATGCCTTGTTTTAATTAACAGCCCAACATGCTGGCCTATTGGAAGAGAGCCTATTCTGAAAAGAATTGATAATATGAATTCTGCTTAAATATTGGTGAATACTGGCAGGATACTTATTTATTGGGTAACTAGTTTTCTTAAGAAGGACATATGAAATATTGCACAAACCACAAAGTGGGGCTGATGTGGGTTTAAATCTTGGCTTTGCTCTTTGTAAGGTCTGTGAGTTTGGCTATATTTCCAAACCTCTCCAATAACTTCCTCAGGTGTCATTGTGAAAATAACACCTGCCTAGCTAGTAAAGGTTTGAGATAATGTTCTGACCAAAGTGGCCAATATTAAAAACATGTTAGTGATTAGTACTGTCCATATATTTATACATTTATCGGAAAAATAAGTAGTGTGATGGGAAAATTGACGATAATGTATTTTAGAACATTGGAGTCTTTCACTAAAGATTCACAGTTAGACAGAATAGAAGAGGGTTTGAAGATGGATTACAAGAGGACTGAGAAACATTTTCAGTCAAGGGCCAGATAGAAAATAGTTTCAGTTTTGTCGTTCAGATGGTTTTTGTCATAACTCCTCAACTCTGCTATCATAGCATGAGAGCAGCCAAGAAGAATATGTAATGGATGAGTGTAGCTGAGTGCCAATTACACTTTGTTTATGGACACTGAAACTTGAATTTCATATAATTTTCACCTGTCACAAAATAGTATTCAAAAAATTTTCCCCAAAACATTTAAAAAGATAAAAAATTCTTAGCTTTTGGATGACACATGAATAAGTGGTGAGCTGGATTTGGACTGTGAGCTGCCATGGTTGGCCAATTCTTGGATTAAAATAGCAGCCTCAAAGGTGAGGCACAGAAAAATATACATCATATATATAAGCTTTATATGTATTTGAACTCCATAAAATAAGCTTTACATACACATGTAGACAAAAATGCCAGCATACAATGTATATATGGATACTATGGGAATGTACTCTCAAAATTTTTTTAACGATGAGGGATGCTACAAAAAAATTTTGGATGGGGAGGGTTGGGGCGCGGGAGGGGGGGTAAGAGATCAACCGAAGGACTTGTATGCATGCATATAAGCATAACCAATGGACATAAGACACTCGGGGGTAGGGGAGGTCGGGGGAATGTCAAGGCGGGGGGGGAAGAGGAGACATATGTAATACTCTTTGTAGTACTTTAAGCATTAAAACAAAATAAAAAATGATAAATAAAAAAATAAAATCAATAAAAACATAAAAAAAATTTGGAGACCACTGGTCCATTGGTCTCACCCTTTGAGTGACTTTAGAAGTAAAAATTGATTATGGTAGCATTACTTATTAAAAACTGTCAGTAACATGTAATTCTCATCTTTTGCCACATTCTTCACTACAGATAAATATTGATGATCAGATCCCTCCTGAATCTAGCAACTTCATTCAGTACACGTGGATCCCAAAGTTACCGGGACTTTGAAACTACTATTAGATGAATTTTCTTCATTTGTCTTAGATATTTTGAAGTTTTATTTATAATTCATTTATTGGGTTATGAGTCAAAAAGAACAAATTTGTAATCATATTAGTGGACCCTTGAGATCTAGAAGAGGCATCTCAAGATCAATTTCATAGGTTTTTTGCAACCCCTTTGCTTACTCTGACTTCTACTCATCTGTTAGGATCTATTAATTCCATATATTTATGTCAGTAATGGATATAAACTATCCTAGGAAAGTTTAGTTGAATTGCTCAGTAATAGAAAAAATAGATTTTTCTCTAATATGTCCTATATGTTCTTTTCCCGTGTCTACCGGTTGACATATTCTACTTCTTAGGAATAAGTTTCTATACATCCACTGATCTTGAGGGAGCTTCACTAGCTCTAGGAACCATCAGCCCACCCACAGGAAAACAGGACTGGAAAGAAAACTAACCAACCGGCGTCTCCAGGTGGTCCAGGGGCTCCAGGAACTCCTTGGGCGCCCTTTGGACCAGGCTCTCCCTGCGGTCCATAGCCTGGTGGTCCAGCTGGTCCTGCGGGTCCTGGGGACCCAGGGATGCCAGGATCCCCTGGAGGACCAGGGTCCCCCTTCTCACCACGGAGGGCCTGTGACAATAGGAATATGTTTGGATAGTGCTTCATTCCAGTATTTCCTTATATAGATTAATATAACCACGAATATGAATGCCACTTAGACGGTCAGGGAGAAAGTACTGAATTAAAGAGAAGTTGGCATTTGAAGGGAATTATCACTAACGTAAGGGTGCCCTATGGTTTCTGCAGTTTTGTGCCCTTTGGAATTTAGTCACATTTCATCAACTGGGAACCCTGAGTCCCACTTGAGATGTCCGACAATGGCGTGCCACCCATGTGATAGTAGCCCCTCAAACCTACCTCACATGGTCAACAGTTCAAATGGAAATGACACTCATGTAATGGTACCTTTCAAAAATCAAATCAGTGCAGCTTAAAACCTTTGTTTGTTTGGTTTTCACCAGGTATTTCCACAAAGGTGATATTCCATCTGTATTAATTTTTTCTTATAAAATGTCTTTTAAAATATTTTCCAGGTTGTAACATTGAAAAGAAAATTGTATGTGTTAAAGAAGTTGATACCAACTGGTTTGCCTTTAGGTCCTGGTAATCCTTTCACTCCAGGGGTTCCAGGAATTCCATCCAAGCCCGCTCTGCCAGGCGGCCCTCTGGGCCCCGGGTCTCCTGGACTACCCGCTTCTCCCTCAGGCTGAGCTGCTTCGCCTTTTTCTCCTTTAAGTCCTGGCTCACCCTGAGCACCCGGGAATCCCTAGGGTGGGAGAGACATGAGTCTGCATTGTTTTTGGGTAGAGTTGTTTTTGTGTCAAGCTCAATAGAAAATGTCAATTTTAATGAAACATGTATTTTTTTAGACACTTATTTGGCCCACAAATATAATTTTAAGCTTTTTTCTCTTTTGGTAGCTAGACAGTACAATTCAATGCAACACACACAATAATATAATTCAATATGATACAATAATCATCACAATTCAGATTCTGTTAGAATATTGGTAAATTTTAACATGCATCTCTGGATAATTTAATATATTTATCCACATATAACTTTCTGATTTGCTATTGTAATCAAAATTTAAAATTTTAACAACTTTATTGAGGTATAATTTATGTATAAAATATATCCTTTGTAAGAACACAATTCAATGATTTTTAAAATAAATATATATATATCTATACTACAAACACCACAGTCTAGTGTCAAAACATTTTTATTACTCCCCCAAATTCCCTTAAGCCCATTTGCAGTCAATTCCTGTTCCCAACCTCAGTCCTGGGCAACCATTGATCTGCTTTCTGTCTCTGATACCATTTTAAATAATTATAAATTCATTATTTCATTCACACATCATTTGTTCATTCATTCATTCATTCATTCAATCAACACATAACTGTTAAGTGCCTGCCCTTTGCCAGGCACTAAACCAATAGCCTGTGTGTGGTGCAACCATATTTCCAGCCAGAGTATTCCATTCTCCAAATTGAAATTAAAGCTTTATAACCATGAAATCTTACTGGGAATCCTGGAAGACCCACACTTCCTGGGGACCCTGGGCTTCCTTTAGTGCCAGCTGCCCCTCGTCCTCCTGCAAAGCAGTGAATTGGTAAATATTCATTGAACACCAATTCTAAGGGTAAGGCAGTGTGCGAAAAAAATAGGGTATTTTCTTCTGAGCAAAGAAGGACAATTTCTATTTTAAAACATACAGTGCAAGAAGAGAATGGGAGTACATCACTAGGGTAACAGAAAATGTAAAAAAACAAGAGCTCAGAAATTTTAACTTCCTAAGATTCTTGTCTTTATAATTTTAAAGAGATACATTTTTATGATGATAAAAGTAATACATGCTCAGTGTAAAAAAAAATGAACAGAAGATAATGAAAATCATCCATAAATCTACCATCAGAAGACAGTATTTGCTAAAATTTTCATGTATATTAGTCTAAAATTTTATATCCATAAATACATACACATTGACAAATATATACATTTATAGCTTCACTTTAAATGGGTGCACAATAAGCCTATTGTGTGGGTGAACCATCATTTATTCAGCTAAATGCTACTTTGAGACATTTAGATTGTTTTTTCAACTTTAACTGTTGTAAACAATGCTCTGATAAATACCTTTGGATATTTAATTCTCCAAATTTATCCAATTATTTTCTTTACAATAAATTCCTAAAAGTTCAACTGTAGGACCAATGGGTACAAACTTTTCTAAGACTTTGGATATCTGTTGTCAAATTGCATTTTGCTGTACAATTTTAACTTCCTATAGGTATTTAAGCATCTCTGTAAAGATGATTTCTTTAGAAGATCTTTTGAATGAATTTCAGGCCAGTTTATTAATAAATATTTGTTCAGATTTATTTTTTGCAAGTTCTTTGCCATGATATATTTTTTTGACAGTAATCCAAACGGTTTTACTGCTTATATATATTCTTTGAGCTGTAGGGAAACCAGGGAAAACATCATTCAGTGAGTTGACCCTTTGTACTTGCAAAAACACTTGTCGGCAAATTGTCTGTACCTGGGGTTCCTTTTACGCCATCAAATCCTGGCAGCCCTGGGAGACCCGGAGGCCCTGGGACACAAGGACAGTCTATGCACACGAGGCCTGGCTCCCCTGCAATGAGAGTGTGCTCGGTTACTCATACACCCCCACCACGTCTGCAGAGAGGACAGGGGGTTTCCAACTGCACAATTCTTTCTTACATTGAACATTCTTCCATGTAGTGCAAATCATGTACGACATTTCACATATTAATGAAAAACTTTTCTTCTATTATATCTCCTTACTTTATCCCTCTGAGCTTCTAGGTGCTCTTCCATAGAAACTCCCGTTTAGTGTAAAATAGCTACTATGCCCGTGTTTCCCTCTTTCAGTGCAGGATAAAACTCATATTCTAGGAATAGCCAATGATTTATTGCATGGTTGCTAAATAAATGGCTGCTTTACAGATAAAGGAATACTTTTAGCTAATTCCTTTGGAAAAGAAGCCATCTCTGACTGCCTGCTGTTTGGGATCATTGTTGCCTCAGGGAGAAAAAAGCAGCGATAGTGATGGTGATGAGAATGGTAATAGAACAACCCCATTGATTGAACCAACCTTTGCTCCCATGGACACCTGGGATTCCTGGAGGCCCCACGTGGCCTGGAGGTCCCCCTTGTCCAGGGGGACCTTTGCGATATACGATGTTACCTACAAAAAGACACTGGTTTTTAAAACATTTCTTTAAGTGTTTTCTTTTTCAATTAGCAGGCGTTTTAGTAATATGTATTATGGTATATGCATTTCCCCATTTGTTTTGGAAGCTGAGTCCTTCGAAGGTTAGCTGCAACTGAAAGGCTGAAGCGTGTTGATCAGCTTTTCCTTTCACATCACCCACATGTGATATTTATATGGTGTTTCTCATCACACACGCAACCCATTTACCTTATTATACTATTTCCAATTACTCCAAGACTATCCCTTTAGCATTTTTAGGCAAAGGGTCAAATCTCGTGCTTCTGTGCATGTTGAATACATGATATACGTATATTTCCTTGATATATTGTAGATGCTTAATACATACTGAGGGGAAAAAATTCTGACTCAGGATGCCACCTGTTTCCTCCTCACTGCTTGTTCACACCGACTGAGTTTCTCATTCTTAAAGCAGCTCTCCAAGAAAGCTCTTCCCAGTCTTCCACATATTATTTGCTATTATAGTGTTACCATGAATAGCGACTTCTCTTAAACTATTGTGTTCTATAACCTAATTTTTGGTCTTGCCATTTCAAATATAGGTTGAAGGCAATGCTGATGAAACTAAATATTTAAAAACAGTACCTATAGCTGCCAAAAGTGTCATTGCAACAAGGTAACAGTGGAAACACTTAATTTGGGTGGAACTTGGTGTGCGTTATATTAGGTCTGCTTGACTATGAAAAGAATGCCCTTTTGTGATCCAGTTTTCTGTGTCTTCAAGATGACTGGATAGTTACCTTTAAACAGTAAAATCAGATGGCAGTTTTATACCTAATGTAGACTTATATGTATACTTACACATTTATACATTTATATGTACTTAACACATGTTCATACTCATTTCATACTTAATTCAACAAATAGTTGAGTGTCTACAATGTTCCATCCCCCTTTAAGCAAATGATGGGGCTTAAACAGCAGAGAAGACACAGTCCTTGACCTCAAGGAGCTTTGATTCTTGTAGAGGAAACTGACAAAGACAGGGCAATGTGAAACATTCTACAACCGGGCTAAGCATGAGTGTTCAGGGTGCAGGCTCAGTGAAAACTGTCTGCAGGACTTGAATTTGAAGCTGCAACTGGGTGGACAGACAGATGTTGCTTAGCAAGAGAAGATAGCAAGCCAGGGCAGCCTCCAAGGGGAGAGGGAGTGGTACGGGGGCCAGATACTGACTTTAGCATCCATTAGGTACAAGAACTGTGCACATCAGGCTTGCCATCAATAAAATGAGGACACAGCCCATATCTTGAGAAAGACTTGGAGGACTAAGAATTATTAAATCAGTAGTAGAGTTTTAGTTTAGTTTTATTTTGCTTTGTATCCCATATAGGTCTATACCTTAGCTTGACAGATTTATTCTTGGACATTATATCCTTTATCAATGGGATAATTTCTTAAATTGTCATTGGCCTAAAGAAACGCTTTCATTTTCATTTTTTTAAATATTGCTCACATAACCAGACACTTAACTGAATTGTCTTAGTAATACTAAAAGTCTTCCAGATTATTCTTTTGGATTCTCTACATTTGTAATCATATTGTCTATAAAAAATGTCTCTTTCCTTTTAAATAGTCCCTGACACAGAAAATTCTTAAGGCTATTATGAGAGTTGAGGATAAATCATAAGACCTGCCAGGCACCTGCCAGGCACCTGCCAGGAAGGGTATTTAAAATACAAAGAGTGGCATATATTTTCATAGGTTCTATGTACCTATCAGCCAATACAGATGCTGAGTGGCTCTTCAGAGAGATGGAGAGGAAAGGACACCTGAACCTGAACCTCCAGGTACCACTTTAAATCCTGAGGACCCCAGCTCTGTGGTCTCCGACCCACTCCACCTGGCAGCATCTTGTCTTGAGCCCATACTGCACACCTACAGCCTCTTGCTCTGGGGCTTCCCTGCTGATGCCAAAGCATGGGATGCCCTGCGAGCCAGGCAAACACAGCCTGGAGGTGTGGGGGGTGGGCAGTCCAGTGCTGTGGGAGCATATCTTTGACCCAGGAGAGGTAGGAGCTAGTGGATGAATTCTTGCCTCTTTCTCCCCTGGGACAGGTTATCCTGAGACAAAGTTACACAGCTTCTTGGAAGACAGTCTCCAGGGACTGAACAAGCAGTTGCCCTTGGTCTAGGCCAACCTGATCATCGTCACTCCTTCCCTGCCCCGTAACTCGTGTCCCTGTCTCTCACTCTGCCGTCTGTGGGAACTCTAGGTAAAGCTTTGCTGCACTTGCAGAGTAGTCATGCCACCATAGTTGTTTCCACAGAGCTGATAAAACGAAACCAGTGGAAAGCTAACTGCTAAGATTCACACAGGCTGACGGCCAAGCTCCAAGTGAGGCCCTCTGCCTCTGATGCGCACACACCTGTCACTGGGCAATGTACACAAAACGGACCCATTAGGCATCTTTACCTGGTGGTCCTGGAGGTCCCGGCAGCCCTGGAGGGCCCGGTGAACCAGGACAACCCGGGGCCCCGGGAGGCCCCACTGCATCCTTTCCTGGGGGTCCTCGCTCCCCTTTACTTCCTTTCATGCCTGGTGGTCCAGGGGCTCCTCTGAGGCCAGGCTTTGATGACCCTTGGAGGAAAATAATCAATTTATTACATTTTCGTTTTTTCCCTGATTAATATATGATTATTTTCAATTGCAAAATGTGATGTATTCTGATTTATAACAGTTGCACCACTGAAAGGTATATTAAGCATATAAAATTAAGAGTATCTTCCTTTCTTCATGTGACCTTATTAAATGATCACAGAACAGCAGAGCTCAGAACTCTCCATGCCCACAAGCTAATTTATGTCGTTTATTACAAGAGACTGAAACAGAATTTGGGGTGCACAGTAGTCCTTTTACTTAAAAGGACTTCATGAGAATTCTTCAATATTAGAGGCCTGGTGCATGAAATTCATGCACTTGGTGTGTGTGTGGCGGGGGGGGGGTCCCTCAGCATGGCCTGTGCCCTCTTGCAGCCTGGGAGCCCTCGGGGTATGTCCGTCTGACAGCTTAGACCCACTCCCCCACGGGCCTAAGCCAACAGTTGGACATCCTTAGTGCTGCCACGGAGGCAGGAAAGCTGAGAGCCCGGCTTCTGGCTGAGTGGCACTCCCCCTGTGGGAGCGCACTGACCTCCAGGGGGCAGCTCCTGCATTTAGCATCTGCCCCCTGGTGGTCAGTGTGCATCATAGCGACCGGTCATTCCACCATTCGGTCAATTTGTGTTAGCCTTTTATTATATAGGATATACTACTTTGTAGACTTTTAAATTAGAGACTATGAGATGCCTACTTTGTAGTGTCCCAAAGAAGAAAGAAAGTTGTAATTGGACTTCATTCCTGCCAATTGTCTTAGATATGGAAGGGCGTGCTGGGGGAGGAGGCACCTCTTAGGAGAGATGCCAGGCCCGGTGGTACAAAATGCATTTCATCTATCTCTCCTAAGATGATGAGGATGTGTGGACGGGGGAAGTCTTGAATCTCTGACTCAAAAACGGTTTAATTGTTAAGCAGAGAGACCTCATCACCAAGGGGCTGAGAAAAATCTGATTATTTCTGATTATTGAGCAGAAGGATTTGGGCATAAAGGTAAATGCCTCTGACTGACACTGCTTTAGAGCTTTATAATTTTCACTCACTGGCTTCTTGAAGGAGCCTATCTATTCATTACTTAGGGGCCAGGCATGTAAAAAGAAGTCTTCTGTAACCTTTGGCCAGTCCTCTGAAATACCCTTTTGTCCCATTGTAACTTCAAGAGATACCCACTGTCTATAGTTTGATGTATATGTTTTTATGCACATGCAAGTACACATAATATTTATCCATTCACCTATTTTCCCACTAGGATGATAATATATACATACTTCTGCAATCTGCTTAATTACAATTCATTTTCCAAATTAGGAAATAGTTTAAATGTACAACATGGTATAAAGAAAAATATAGTGGATGGCAAAGCTTATCAAATGTTTGCTATTTTTTTTCTTAGTTACTCTTCCTTTACAAAAGGACACATCACATCATTACAGTTATAATTGCAGCCTCTGTGGAACCATCCTTGATCCTATTTCTCCTTCCTTTCTCAAGAGGCAACCACACTAATGACTCATGGATGCTTCTACACTTTACGGAATTGTCTATGTTTCTATAAACAATATATTGTAAAATTTAAAATGTCACATAAAAAAGTACAACCTATGAATTCTGATGCAACTTGAAAACTATGATTTTTAACCAAGCTAATCACCATCAAACTAGTTTTTCTCTCTGTGTCTTCTCTGAGTTTTAAGGCTTCTTCTCATATACCTAGTTTGCTGTCTTACACTTAGTTAAAACCACTGAGAAGTGAAAAAGAGCATTTCTACAACACTGTGTAATTTTTCACTTCCTTTTCACAAGTAAAAATTTGCAAACACTTTTATACCAATTAACGAAAGATTTGCCTTCCGTAAATAATGCAAACTTACTAGAGAGCAGTGTATTTTACTTTTTAATAGCATTTCTGTTGATACCCTGAGAAACATGTACATACCAGGCCTTCCAGGATCTCCGGGAGGCCACTGGGACCTATGAATACAGAACAGCAATAAATTGCTTATGAAGAAATAAATACCCTGTCACCCCATTTTTGCAATCTTGGGTTATAATATAATAATAACTAATGATAAATATTTTCCATACTTTTTCTCCATTCTCATATAGATACATATTAGAAAACTTTACTTATTTAGACAAACTGCAGAGAAGAAACAAATCTCAGATAACCTTTTCAAATAATTCAGCAGAAACTCACTAAGAGCCTGCTCTGTGTGTACTTTGCTGGGATGGTTCAGATACAAGAAAAGCAAACAGCTGGAATTGTTAAGGATCTGTAGTTTGAGCTGGTGTCCCACCTCAGACTGCTTCTAGCTCTAAAATTGCCTTAAAAATCTATATCTAAATGTATCTGTCCATTTATTTAAATACACTGGGAATTTTTCCTTTAAGCACAAATCTCCTTTGAAAAATCTTGTTTAAACCAATAATTTGCCTAGATTAGTGTTCTCAATCCTGCTGCACATTAGAATAATCCGAGGCACTTTCACAATCTGCTCATGTCCAGAGCCTTCCTCCTGACAAATCAGAGTCACAGGGGGGCCCTTATGTGGGCATCAGTGAAGAAGTCCCAGGGGTTCTAAGGTGCAGCCAGAGATGAGAGAGCTCGTGGCCGAGACCTTTCCAATCCATCAAAGGGGGTAGAAGATAAGTAAGTGTGACTTTAATTCATGGTGCCAGGCATCAGGAAACCAGGGGTTCAGTCACCCCTGGCCACTGTTGGTGTGGATTTGCTCAAATTCCAGCCATTCAGGTCCCCATTTTCACATCTGTAATCCCGCTGAGATAACAGATTTCTTACACTCCCTGGTCCTGCCCTTGGACCATGTTAGTGTCTGCTTGCCAGACTTGAACTTCGTGATTTCCTGCATGAAGTTAATTTAATGACTTTTTGGTATTTTCATTCAAAAGTTTCACATAAATTTTTCAAGTTCTGTATAGAAATTAGGAGACACCAAAAAAATACCACCATCCATGAAAATGAGGAGACTTCCCTTCTCCCCCTGCAAATTCTAGGTCTATAAGCACAAGTTGTGTTACCTTGAAAGATGACAATGGTCAGCAAATGCTTCAGAAAGGAATTTATTCTCACCCTGTGGGCCACGCGCTCCTTTGGGCCCTGGAGGGCCTGGAGTTCCTTCATCTCCCTTTACTGCGTATGCATCATAATATTCTGTCTTAAAGGAAAAAGAAATGAAGAAAAAGAAAGAATAGCTATTTATGGACATTCGCCAAATGCAATGACTTCAATTTATTCTTTTTAGCCAAAATGATACTTTCCTCATTTTTCTCAATTCATAGGCTTATGTGTTAGCAGAAATAGGGTAGTCATGTATATGGGATGGATAAATTTAGAGATAAAAGTTGATATTTCTGGTATGGAATCATATATTTCATTTATATTTACATATATATCCATACAGACAGATATATCTATGTATGTGTGACTAGGTACACAGATATTAAAGTTTCACAAAATAGTGATTTACCTTATGAATATGATCAACTCTGATAAATTTATTCTGTTCTATTTCACTTTTTGAAAATGCTTGTCCTGATGCACTGAATTCATTTTTTCTCAGATCTACACATCAAACAGTACTCTATTGACTGTTTCATTAACTTTCAGGACACCATTGACCTACAATAAGTACTACTGTTTCTGACATATTCTATGGACCTACTTCTGGTCTCTTTAACCATCTAATTCCTAAGCAATTTCCTCTGATGGTAGTAGATGCTGCAGTTATATAGAGTTGAGCATGAGACAATACAGAGTGAGCTAAAAATGCTTAGACTTCCTCTAAAGTGCAATTGGAAAAGTAGATTTCACTTAGAATTCAGTCCATTTATCTTGAAGAGAAGATGAAAATGTAAAAGGTTTTTAAAAAACTCTGTTTTTTTCATATTTTACATGGGGCAATTCTTTGTTGACTTATTGAAAGATGAGGTAACAAGAACTTTGTGGTTAAGCAACAAGTAGAAAATAACAAAAAGAATGCATAATAATAGCAATAATAATCTGTAACAATAAAAGTGTAACATGCTAATTAGCCCGGACATCCTTCTGGACATCCTTCCTTCCCGACAAAGCCACAGCGGGCGGGGACCAAGGCAGAGGCAGCAGAGGCCCTGGCCACGGTGGCAGTGGGCGGGGGCCGGGGCCAAGGCCCTTGCACGAATTTTGTGCATCAAGCCTCTAGTAATGTAATAATCTTCTTCGTAAAATTTACAATGACCTCTGTGTGCCTGCAGAGTGTTGGCTAAGAGCATTCACAAAATAGCCCATTTCATCTTCCTGGCAACTCCATAAAAGTGTTTTGGGACTACTCGCATTTGAATCATTTGCTTGTAGTATAAAGATGCAGGTTTCCAGGACCCTCCTCCAGTGACCAAGTTAAATTGCTTGTCTGAGGGGTCTGAGAACTGCATGTGCAATAGGACAGCTCCTCTCCCCATGACTCTTGTACCATACACTGTACTGTCAAACCTACTCAATGAAGAAATGGCGGCCCTGCTCAGCACATTGCATGTGAGGAGCACTGTCTTTTGAGGGAGGAGAGGAACAGATACCAGGACTCAGAGCCTGGATCCCTTTTATTCCTCTCCTTAAGCTGCAGAATCACAGAATATAGAATGAGGCCACCCTGCAGCCAGAAGCTGACAGCCATCACATCCATGTCCTCACTGCAAGGAAGAGATGGTCTGCTGAGATGGAGCTTGGGCTGGGTGATTGGTGTTTGCTGACCCTGCATGAAACCTGAGCTTTTCCTGCTGCCTGAAGGTGCACTTGTCATGACTAGCTGGAGAGGGTGGAGCTGGCTCCCTCACCACTGGGTGGCCATCTGTCCTCCTACTCTATTCAGGATTCAGGATCCCCTTGGGCCAGATCTGATCCTTCGTCCCCATAGCCCAGGATGGGTACTACTAGTGCATATCAAAGACCAAGTAGAAATACAGCTATTGTTTTGCCCTGGTTTGATAAAAAAATAAATACTATAATCTCTATCATAACCATTTATGAGAGACCCTGATTCAAAATTTCCTTGATCAAATATGACATTGACATTGTCTTTAATGATACTTACTGGGCCACGAAATCCTGGAGGGCCAATGTCCCCTTTCCACCCCTATGGCAAAAAACAATTACAATTATGGGTACAGTCATCAAAAGTATTTACACATTTGGTAGACTTAAAAAGCAAAATGCACAGGTAAACAAGAAATCAATGCTCAAAGTAATGTTATTTCTATGTAATATACAAACTTTAGATTATTTTCCTGGAGGGCTGTCTCTGGGTCAAGAGTCCCATCAGCAAGGTTCTGAAGAGGTGGTTGTTCTGGTGGTTCTCCAGGTTTCTTTCATGACACTCCCTTCAAAGGGTGTCCACATGCATTGTCCACTCCCCCATTCTCTCCCAGATTAGAGGAACTGGATCACCAGGCTATGGGTTGTATGCAGTTCCCAGAATCCCAATGGTAACCAACCCCCTTTCCTATCTACTGAAGAGGGCATTTCAGAATTCTACTGGCAGTGGTATTATTAGAAGATCAACCTTGAATTTGCACATATACCTACATATGAAAATTATTTGAATATGTCTGCAACATGTTGTCAGAAAGAAACCATGTGGAATACACTTCACAACTAATTGATGATGACTTTTTAGTGTGTAATGACCCAGCCTGAGACTCATGGAGCCACTTATCCTTATGCTTGATCTCCAATGACCCAAAACTTTCTACAATCCCAGGCCCTTTCCAGCTTCTTCCACGTGGGGAGCTGAAATCTCACTGGTCCTAAGATTCTACTACATAGAATAAATTTAATATCTTTTCCACTAGACAGACCTTCAAGTGCTTAAGTAAAGTTGCTACATCTCTCATTTCTTATTAAATATACTAAGGTATTTTAAAGAACAATGATTGCAATTTCTTGTACCTAGTTCCAGGGTGTGATGGGAAAAAGTGGGCAAAACCCAACCAATTGAAAAAGGCTGAAGATAGAACATGAGATAGGGGATTACCTTAATGCCATCTTCACCCCTCAATCCAGGGAAGCCCCTGCTGCCTTTGGCTCCCTAAAGAACAGAGCGAAGAAAGGGGGTCAGAAGACACAGGGATCAATTTCTTTGTTGGAAGCAGAACAGTTTGAACTTTTTGGAAAAAGAAAATGTGCTCAGTTGTTCTCTCTTTTTAGTGTAAAACTATGATTCTCAAATGTAATTTTTAAAAAATGACATGCTTTTGGTTAGCTTATAACTATTAAGTGACTCTCAAAAAAATCCTTTATCTAATAGGATTGACATTTTCACTATGTCAGCAGGTAAACCATGCCTTTACCTTAGTGCCAGGGAACCCAGGGGCCCCGTCTTTTCCAGGTCTCCCCTAAAAACAAATAAAGCAAAAACATGTAATCTAATAAATGTGGATAATATTAATAAACATGGAAAACTTCAATGAGATAATCATCTCCTCTCAACCTCAGCAAGAAAGCTTGACTGATGCTTCCCTCCCAGTTATTAGAAGGACAAATATTAATCACAGAACACGCAAACATCTCCTCTTGCAGGGAAGGCAGAGACCAGTGGGAATGGGAAATAAGGAAGAGAGGAAATTAAGAGCAGAGCTTAAATTGATACTGTCCATCCAACTTTGGAAGGAAAATCAAACAAGCACTGAGCTGAGAGGTGGACAAGAAAACCCAGAAAGTGAAAAGTTTCACAGTCAATTTATTTATTTGAAATGTTGCCAGTTGCATGAATTCCAGGTGTGCCTGTGTTTAAATATATGTATAAAAAGTACATTGCAATGTCCAAACAGACAGGGCTCTTGGATGAACTATTATGGTATTTACCCTCAATATAGAATTAAAAATCATACTGGTTCAATATTTCTTCTTAGAAAAAAGTACTTTTCCCAGTATATTCTTTTTGAGTTTTAAAACAATATGTACGTGTGTTTAAATCTTCAAAATAGAGCTGGGTGGGAGAGAGGGCCCCTGCTGCTCTGTCTTCCCCGTATCTCACTTCTCATCACAGTGTGCCCAGTGCCCTTTGGAGCTGTCCTCTCTCTGTGTGGTTCTGATGGGGCTGTCAGCCACAGGAGTCCCCTGCCCCACTGGCCTGGCCAATCGTGGTATCTTTTATTCCTGGACATGGTCACTTTTCCAGAATTAAACACATGACCCAAGCTGAGCCAATCAGAGTAATTCTGTGGGATTTTATATATGGACACACTCTTTCTCCTTGGATGCTATTAACCTGAAGTTGTTTGTTGCTACATCTTGCTCATTCTCCTCATTGCTCCCTACATGGAAGATCATTTGGTAGAGAATGAGGCAAACACACAGAGAGGAGCAGAAGAGAAATGGAGAGAGTCCCGCCCATATTGTTTCAGTCTCTGGAGGCCTTGAACTTCTCAGATACTTGAACAAATAAATTTCACTTCCCAAACATTTAAAAAAATCTAAGCTAGTTTGAGTTGGCCATGTTATAGTTGCCACCTAAAGAGTCCTAAATGCTGCCCAATGGAGGCGGCATATGACAATGAATTTCCTAATTTACCTGTGAACCAGGTTCTCCAGGGGCACCTTTTTCTGATCCATAAGAGTCTCCTGGTGGTCCCTGTATTAATGAGAGTTATGTCAAGTTTTACAAATTATTGATTTTTGACTTACATTGATTTTTATTCACCTTCCCCTTCTGATTATTCTGCTACATTTAAAAATATTGAAATGATGGGTCATCTAAGAGGGAAGTCTTATTTATAAATATTAATTAATTAATTAAAAAACAGATGCTAAAAAAACAAGATACTGAAGATAAATTCTAAGATGGGTGAAACAGTGCTAGGATTTCAGCTAGAAGTGGTCATAAAATAATTTCTATGTTCATGACCTCTGTGGTAAAATACTATTGATCTTCAACTAATCTTAAGATTTGAAGATAGGTCAGACATCAAAATGTTCACTAAGGTTTTAGTTTGTGTTTCAAAGGAACAATATGACTCTAAATGACCTACTCTGGGTCCAGGAGGTCCGGGTTGGCCCATGGCGCCTTTTTCTCCCTTCTCCCCTTTGAGTTCCTGCCACAAAAACAATTTAAGGTCGTTACAAACAGATCAAACAAGATTTTACTGCTTATACTTGAAAAAGTCCTCTATCTGTTCAGTACACTGGATTTACAGAATACCTATGTACTTCCTGTTAACATGACACAGTATCATTTTTCACATTTTGAATTTTATACTTATGAACCTACTGAAGTCATATACTAATTTTTTAAATAAAGTATCTTTTTTTAAATCAAACTACATTGAATCAGCTTTCTATAAGCACAATCACATCATTTCTAATGTATTTTACCTTCATTTTTAATATATTGAAAAGATTTTTAATTGTGATCAATTATTTTCTGAGTAAATGTTACAAGAAGAATTTGATTTATTAATCACATTTGTTTTTGCTTTTATCATGTTTTATTGATTATTTTTTTTCCAATGTGCGTCTTCTCTTGAGGGCATCATTTCCTTCAAACTCATTTCCTCCACCCTGGGTGATATCTTTCAGGTTTAGATTTTTGTCAGGATAAGGTATTTTTCCTATCAATTTTCAGCCAATAAAAATTTTAAAATTTATTAATTTTATTTTTGTTAATTACCTCTAGAAAATTTAGTTTTTTTCCCTTTAGGTCAATTCCCCTTCTACACCCAGTCTTTGAAGTGAATTATTTATTTATTTTTTCATTTTATATTTTACTATGTTTTGTTTTACCTTTTGTTTTGGAAATTTCTATTATTAAAAATTACATTGGAGAGTGATGGCTAAGGGGTTTCTCTTTGGTGTGATGCAAATGTTCTAATTCAATGTGGTAATAGTTGCGAAACTCTATGAATATACTAAAGCCATTGAATTATACACTAAATAAGTCATTTTATGGTCTTGACTTATATCTAATACAGCTGTTAAAATTCATTATTACTAAAATCCATGAATTGAATAAAGAAGATGAAATTTATGGCATGGGAATTATATCTCAATCAACCTATTATTAAAACACAATGAATTATAAGTTTATAAGATAAGAGTGTGTTATGCTTATTTCTTAGTTAATCTGCTAGAAAATTGTTAGCTACCTCCTTGCTTCTCCATCCCCCTTCCCAGATATTCCAGGATCAACCTAGTGTCAGGATTGGTGTATGATATTGTGGTGCACTTCTGAGCATTTGATTCAGCTCTGTACTCTGAAAGCAAATGGTAATGTCCAAATACAAGACTATAGTGTCCTTGGAGAGGAATGGGGCCCAAATTATCCTGGGGATTATGATAGCAGGATAAAATGTCCCTTATAATTATGACACCCTTCCATCCATATCTTTAGGTTCTCCCCATCCAATTGGCTCAGAGCTGTACACCCAATTTGTAATAATTTATTCAAAAATACTCACTAAATACCCACTCTGTGTTAGTGACAATGAGAAAGACTGAGAGTAAAGGGTGAGCAAAAATGGCCCTGGGCTCTACCTTCAAGAATCTTGGAAGTTGCTTGCTTCAGATTTCACATTTTCTGGTTCATGAGTATAAAATAGGGAAGAAATAAAACCTTGAGGCTCTGTAAGGCTGAGGGGACTGTGCTGAGCTGGGATTAGGTGGCAGAACTTATTAAAAAAAGGTAAGGGAAATGGAAAGGCACAATCCTAATAATAAAATTGAAGAGTTACCGTTATGTTATCTGGGCCAGTCTGTGTCACAATAACAGTTCCTGGTGGTCCAGGAGGTCCTATTAATCCTTTCACACCCTAAAGATAAATATACTCAAGAATTAAAAAGGAAACAACATTATCTTTACTATGTTTGACAGAGCTACTTTTCTCCATTAGTGCTCTTGTAGGAAAACAGCAAATGAAAGTTTGAGACACAACAAATGCATTCATTTCAATGTGACTTAGTGAATAAAATGTATAGCTAATTGCTATGGAACTTCAAATATATTGCCCACAAATGAACCATAGTATTTAAATTACCCGTTCTCCTTTTTGTCCAATCACATTATCACCCATGTGACCCTGTAAGAAATACAAAACCAAATTATTTTTTAAAAAGGAATACGAATACATTTTCTAAACCCTTTGAAGTTCTAATATTTGTAACTGAACACTTATATTTTAACTTTTCCCCACCGGGTCACAATTGTTATTTTATTTAATCTTGGAATAATGTATTCTTTTTTAAAAATTAAAGTATAGTTGATATATAATATTATATGTTTCAGGCATACAACATAATGACTCTACATTTATATACCTTACGAGGTAATCACCACAATAAATCTAGAACCAACTGTCACCGTACAAAATTGTTATGATATTACTAACTCTGTACATTATATCCCCATATCTTAATTATTTTATAACAAGAAGTTTGTACCTTATATTCCCCTTTACTGTTTTCACCCTCATCTCACCCCTCTAGTAACGCTGTTTGTTCTCTGTATCTGTGAGTTTGTTTCTGTTTTTTTTGTTATTTGTTCATTTGTTTTGTTTTTTAGATTCTGCATATAAGTGAAATCATACAGTATTTGTCTTTCTCTGTCTGGCTTATTTCACAAAGCATAAACCCTCTAGGTCCATCCATGTTGTTGCAAATGGAGAGATTTCATTCTTTTTTATCGATGAATAATATTCCATTTATCTGCTCTTCTTTATCCACTTATCTATATATAGACACCTATGTTGCTTCCATATCTTGGCTATTGTAAATAATGTTGCAATGGGGTGCATATATTTTTTGATTTAGTGTTTTCATTTTTTTTAGATAAATGCCTAGAACTAGAATTGCTGAATCACATGGTAGCTCTATTTTTAATTTTTTATGAACCTCCATACTATAATGCCTGCACCAATTAGCATTCCCACCAACAGTACACAAGGGTTTCCATCTGTCCACATCCTCAACAACATTTGTTATTTATTGATTTTATTTTTTTTTTAATAATAGCTGTACTGACCCATGTGTGGAATCAGACAAGGTTTGGCTTTCTCATTGGGTAGGATGTTATGGCTGATATGACCTATGAACTGTAATTTACCTTAAGTCCTGGAGACCCCATGGTTCCTGGCAAGCCCTAAAAAAATCCACAAATTATAATTACAAGGGGAAATGCACCAAGTCAGAAAACTGTTTAAATGTTTTAGCTACAACTCTTTCATTAGTTTATAGTGTCTACAGCAATGACAACTTAGTACTCACAAAGAATCCCGGAGGGCCAGGGGGGCCCACAGGTCCAGGAAAACCTGGGAGGCCCGGCAAACCCTTCAAATTAAGAGACAAATAAGAAGAGTAAATGTACTACTCACCTACGGACAATGCCCATTAGTTAAGTGAATTAGAATATTTTAATAAGACCTGAGAAGCATGACACCTTCCATTTATGGCTGCAGTTTAAGTAAAAACCAGTTATCTACTATCATGCAAATTTTATGATAGAGCTATTACTTAACATTACAGTTTTAAATTGTGTTCAGTGTGCGATACAAGTCTAGCCTTGAGTTTTAACAAATACGGAGTACGTGGAACCTAACTCTTCCTTGGAGATTCCACCTTAGATGTAGGAAATCTTGGGTCACTGAGACTTAAGAAAAGATGAAAAGACATGTACAAATCATCTTTTTACATCAGCTTCATGTAGTGTCTTATAAGGTGAATGTTTTAGAATGAAATGAGGTGCATATGTAAATAGAAGAAATATGTATATTAAAAATGTTCTTAGGAGAATGAGCAAGAAATATAGGGGAAAAGGGAGAGGTGGAGAGAGAGAGAGAGAGAGAGAGAGAGAGAGAGAGAGAGAGAGAGAGAGAGAGAGAGAGAAAGGTAAGAGAGAGAAGGACACACACACACACACACACACACACACACACACACACAGTAGAAAACGGAGAGGGGGCACTGAGGACGGTAGGACTGCTCTCTGAAGTGCTTGTACCTGGAATCCTGGAGCTCCTGGCAGCCCGGGATCCCCTTTTCCATCATATTCTACATCTTCTCCTTCAGCAGGAGCACCCTTGAAAATGAAGTTCATTGAACATAATCAATGTTATATCTTTAAAACCCCTTTACATGCTTATTCAGGGTCATGCCACTTCAAGGATAAAAGTGCTTTCCAGTGTGAATGAAAAAGGGGCTATGTAACAACCTGATAGGCTCAGTGACCAAAGTAACCACGCAGGATGGTCTGTTCACAAATTCTGAACTGGGCAGGTCACCTCCCAGGCCGATAGCTTCCTTAGCAAAGGTCAGTTTTTACCTTAAGTGAGCCCTGTCCCTGTTCTTACGCATCAAAGATGATATACCTTTGAAATGTCAGAGTCATTTTCTTTTCTAGACCCCCGAAGGCACAATTGATGACACTAGAGTGTGAGATCAAAACCCCTCATTGTCATCCTGTTGCCCAATACCATCTCCATGTGCTGTAGATGTTAACTCTCCTGTACCCACCCATGTGAAAGAAGTTTCTCTATTTTGCTTTGTGTCCAATTTTAGGGATTCCCTTGTTTTGCTTTTTCCCACTCCCTTAATCTACCACCAATGGGTTTCATGTACCTTCCTTATGTCTCCTCCCTTTATTCTAAATTCATAAAAGAAACTGCAAAACTGCCTTCTCTGCAGCATTTTTTCAATCCTTTGAGAGCTGGCTCTGGGCATGTTCTCAAAAATTTGGCTCAAACTCTCACAAAACTTCTCTATAGGTTTGAATGTTCTTTCATTGATACCAGGGTATATACTTAGAGAAATGACTTAGTTATCTCATCTTGAAGAAGTCACAGCATTTTCATAGTTTCTAAAATTAAAAATTTACTGTGCAAGGAAGGAAAGAAGACACAAGGATGATAACGGGTTTCCCAAGATACCAGAATTGGTGGCAATTCTGGATGTGGAATGTGGGTCCTGGCCTCGAGGCCAGCTCTTTTCTCCCAGATCTATTTCCTTAAAGGATGATATGAAACTTGTATACTTATGACGAGAGATAGAAGAAGTTGTTCAATAGAAATAAATATGATATCTCAAGTATTATGGATTCTGGATTAATGATGCAATCTCATTTTTAATTTTTATATCTCATTATTTAATAGAAGTCCCTTTCATATGTACAATTAGAGATGTTCAATAATAACATACCACAGATGTCTTACCTTTTCTCCTTTTAAGCCAATGGCACCCTAGGAAAAAAAGTGGCATATTTACCACTAGACACAAATCAAGTAAACAACATCCCACTTCTCCCTCTGTTCTACCTTCTCCCTCTACTGTGTACTTCCTGCTGCCTTTACAACATGCTCAAGTCACTCTCATTTGGACAAAGTCTATCATAAATCTTCCTCTACCCTGCAGTACTGCCCTTCTCTTCATGTCATCTGCATACCTCCTGTTCTGTTCATCTCTGACTCATTCTTCAGTCCCACAGCTGCCACCTACCTCTCTCCAAGATGGACGTCTCCCTTGCTAAGTTCTGCCATGACTTTGACATTGCTAAAGTCGATGATAAAATGTCAGTTTCTCTCTTACTGGACTCCTCAGCAGCATTAGGCGGCTATCTGTCTGTCACTGTCCTCTACTGAAACACGTCTTTCCTGCCCTTCCATCATACATGCCTCCTGGTCTCCTTCTACCACCAGGGTCATGCTTCCTTCACAGGTTTATTCTCCTTGACCTAGAGGTCACATGCTGGAGCTCTTTAAGTCCTGGTTCTAAGCCACCCTCCTACCCCACACTCTCACTCTTTGAGTCACCCCCTCCCAGTCTCTCCTCTGCCTACTACTCAGCTCCACTGTATTCCTTTAAATCACAAAAAAGTCTCAACGTGTAAACCTGAACTCATAAATCATTTGTTCATTCATTCCCCAACTATCAGTTTAGTGTTTACTATTGGCTGCACCAGACATCCCCATGATGGATTTCAATACACGGCCATTCTGGACTAAACCACTTACATTTCACTTTATGTTTCTGATGAGAGAAATGAAAACCTACCGGGACCCCTGGGTAGCCTGGTGTCCCTGGAAATCCTGGGAAACCTTGTTCACCCTGGAAGAAAGACCATACAAAACTTGTCATTCTTCTTACTTGTTCCAAAACAGCCTATTGAGATATTTTCCCTGTTTCTCTCTTCCAACCCTGCAGTGGTAAAGCTAGACAAAGTAACCAAAGTGCCTTATGGATACTGGGTCATGAGTCTGAAGGCCAGAAAACCATTATTTTAATTGAAAACAGGATTAAAATTTGTTTCTCAAATTGTGCATAAATGGTGAAAGCTTAATTGTGTCAAGAACTGTTTAATTGCTGTTTCCTTGAAACCTCAGGGATTAGTTCTTTCCTGGCCACCACTCTGGGAAGAGGAGCAGGCAGTCAGGAAACCGAGGAGACGAATGAACATAGGAAAGCTCAGTCCCTCTTCTCCAAAGACATACCTTGCATTCCCAGCTTGAGTTTCTGATTTATATACACTCACAACCTCAGATCAAAATAACTTGTTATCTTTCTGTGGGCAAATAGAAAAGAACTTCCTCAAAAGACAATCAGAGCCCTGGCCGGTTTGGCTCAGTGGATAGAGCGTCGGCCTGTGGACTGAGGATCGATTCCGGTCAAGGGCATGTACCTTGGTTGCAGGCACATCTTCAGTAGGAGGTGTGCAGGAGGCAGCTAATCAATGTTTCTCTCTCATCGATGTTTCTAACTCTATCCCTCTCCCTTCCTCTCTGCAAAAAATCAATAAAATATATTTTAAAAAAAGACAATCAGAAATCAAGGCATAGGAAAAAAGGAAATAGGTAGGTTCCTGGTTCAAAAATCACATTTCTGCCCTGAAGACAAGTACCATTGGTTCTGGTTAAAAGAATGTTTCCAGGAAAGTCTAACCCATCTCATTGCTACTTCAGCTTGATTAAGTCATTCAGCAAAACATTGACAGATCAAGTCCTGTGTAAGAAGTACATACCTTAGAACCATTGCATCCTGGTAAGCCAGCAGGACCGTAAGGTCCAGGATAGCCGGGGATGCCCTGAAAACAGAGTAAGTTTCAAAAGGAGAAGCAACCAGGCCCTGGGACCAGGTGGAAACAACGAGGAAGCCAACGTGAGGGAAATGAGGGGCTAATTTAGATAGTTATTTAAATATAAATGATTATTTAAATATTTAAGCAGTAAATGTAGTCATTTTAGAAAATAATTTAAACAAAAATAGGAAATAAAATGGGCTAATTAAAACAAAGAATTATCAAGTGAGGTACAGATATTGTAAATAAAACAAAAGGCCTTTCTATATAACACGAAATCCCTTAACATGCTGTTCTAAGCTGGGGGAAAGGAAAGGAAAAAGAAGAGGGAAATGTGCTCAGAGGCAACTATTTTATAATTATACTAGAGTCCCGGTGCACAAAAATTTGTGTACTGGCAGGGGAGGGGGTGTGAGGGGGGATGTCCCTCAGCCCCACTTGTGCCCTCTCACAGTCTGGGACCCCTTGGGAGATAACTACCTGCTGGCTTAGGCCCGCTCCCTGGGTGGCAGATAGCAGGCCCGATCCTCGGTGCCTGCCCCGCCTGCCCGGGTCACCCACACGGCAGGGCCGATCTGGGGGTTGGGGCACCTCCCCGGGTCGCGCACACATGGCAGGGCCAATCCGAGGGTTGGGGCGCCGCCCCGGGACGGGTCCCACACAGGACACCCGGGCAGGCCGGCCGATCGCTGCTGCCCCGCCTGCCACCCCGGGTCGGGTCACACACGGGATGCCCAGATGGAGGCCGGGTGGGCTGGCCGATCTCTGCTGCACCGCCCGGCCGCCCCGGGTTGGGTCGCACACGGACGCCTGCTGCCCCGGGTCGCAGATAGCAGGCCCAGACGGTGGCGGGGCAGGCAGGATGGCGCTGTCCCGCCCTGCCTGCAGTATGCAAATTAGCCGCCATCTTTGTTGGCAGTTAATTTGCATATCATGCCGATTAGCCAATAGGAGGCGTAGCGAAGGTATGGTCAATTACCATGTTTGTCTATTATTAGATAGAATGTTATTAAGCAGTTGTTCTATTCTATTCTTTCTATTCTATTTTTCTATTCTAGTCTAATCTTCTGTTTTATTCTTCTATTCTATTCTATTATTCTATTTTAGTCTATTCTAGTCTATTCTAGTTTTTCAAGAAATACAATTTGATTTGTATGATCTACCAATCCACACTAACACATTATGCTATTCTATTGTGCCATCTTCATCATGTAGCAAATTTATCAATACCTATTTCCTTGTGCTATTGATTTAACATCTTTATTAAAATGAGCTTACTTTTTATTTTTCAGTTACACATTTTCCCCATTACTTACCGGAAGTCCAGGAGGACCTGAAAATCCTGGTAATCCAGATATTCCCTGAAGGCATAGAAAAGGGAAGGGTGGCAAGAAAAACACTTGAAATGTTCAACTTATAAACAGAAAATTATTTACCATTCCAATAGCCCCCTCCTGCAACTATAATTTGGAATGGCTAAAAACTACTTAAAACACAAAAAAAGGTTTGTCAAACTTTTGTAAATCTTATATTTATATCAATTTTAAAAAGAGATGATTACAATTGTTTTAGGCTTTTGGGGGTAGACTTTAAAGGTGTAAATTGATTAGAGTCCAGTGCTCCAATCTTCCATGACCACCAATACGTGCGTGTGTGCACATTCGTGTTATCAATGCCCATCCAGACACAGACATCACTCCAGATGGTTCTCTCATGCCTTTTCCATCAGTTAGAACCAACCCCACGTAGTCACCACTATCTTGTGACTTGTACCATTATAATTTTACCTGTTCTTGAACTTCATCTATAGAAGTGCACCATAAACAATGTACTCCTTCATGATATTTGTATAACTTCTACACTGCAATACTTTCAAAAAAAAGAATTCATTAAGCAATCAGGTTGGACTACTAACCCTTACACCTTTGGGACCAGTGAGTCCTGGACATCCTGGAGCACCCTAGATCCAAGTGGAAAACAAAAGTAAACACCAAGACAATTATTTGGCACCCCAAACCCCATAAATGAAAGGTCCAAGTTTTATTGATATCTCAAAGAGTTTTGCTCTTGTGATTATTTCATCGTTAACATGGTTCACTTACTTGCTTGTTTCATTGGAGCTAAAATATTTACCAGTAAGGACAGACAGAGAAAGTTTCATTCAAACCCTGGCTACTGAAAGTAAGGGTCTAACATTGGCATCATCTGGGAGCTTGTTAGAAAAGCAGAATCTCAGGGCCCCCACCTCCCAGACCTATTGATTCAGATTCTGCATCTCAGCAAGGTGCAGTGATGATTCCTGTTCACATCAGTGTCTGACAAGTTCTGCTGTAAACCCGCCCTGGAGCTGCCAGCTGCTGGGGTCTGATAAGAATGAGCGACAGTTGCAAAGGTGGCTGAGCACAGCAGCCAATATTTCTGTGCGTGAGAAATACTTCATTAACAAAATGTACCTGCCATGCACAGATAAATACTCAGCCAGGCAAGGGCTGCCTGAATCAGAGATAAGCTTGCTTTGGGCGCATACTGAGCACAGTTTTGAGGCCCTGGTTTCTTAGAAAATAATAACCTTAAATGGATACTATTTTAACTAGACCACTGGGTGGGAAAGTTCCATAGTCCAAAAGCTGTTTTCATCATTCCTGAGAGTTTCAGTAATTTTTTTTATTTATTTTGGGAAAGGGGTTACAGAGTCTTCTGAGATTGGATGGTCAAGGCCACAGTCAGCCTTTCCTGGATGAGGTGAAATTCCTGGCTACATGACCATGCCCCCTTCTCTGCAGGTGAAATTCCTGACTACATGACCATGCCCCCTTCTCTGCAGGTGAAATTCCTGGCTACATGACCATGCCCCCTTCTCTGCTATCTGTGTTTGCAGAAGGCAGAGGAGGGACTTGCAGGTTTCACTTCCCCGTTGTAAATATTCTCATGCAAAACAATATTTAAAACTAAGGTAGGAAGTTTATACGGTTGAAAAATCTTTTGGTAAGGTTTTGATATCTTTGTCTGCCTTGGATCAAATTATCTTGTGCGGCCACATCTACAAGCTGTGCTTTAAAATATGAACTCCATGTCAACGTGGCACATGGTTTTTCTGAATTAGCTTTACGGAATCCTTGCACATCATTGAACTCTGAGCACCATATGTTCAGAACCTTCATTTTAATGTATTGTTAGCATCATTAAAGAAATGCTGAGAGAAACAAGCAGAGTACAGAGAACAAAACGAAAAGGAAAGAGTTAGAATTTAGCTGATCTGATGTATAGGGTTGAAGTGGCCAATTCATTCTACCAGCGAAATGGAGGAAAATATGAGGTCACACCCGGGAGGGAGGCCACATAATGTATCAAATTCAGGCATAGAATGTCCAGAATCCAAATGACTTTTCCAAAATTAGGATCATGAGAAGAGAAATGGAGAAACAACGCATACAGGGATAGACAGGAAATGGTGAAATTTTTGGAGAACAAGCCATCTTTGCATTTTTACTTGGAAACTACAGGTGTGGGTTTAGCTTCTTTGGTTAAGGAGGTTGATGCTGGCATTGTATAATAGCAGCCACCTGTTGGCTGTGTAACCAGGAAAAATTACTTAAGTGCTCTGAGTGTCGGTTTCCTCATCCATAAAATGGAGACAGTAATGAGAACTAGATTATGAGTCTCCATCATGATTTCTGGAACCACTGTGAAATGTAAATGAGGTGTAGTCAGGAATACACGGTCCAGTGCTGACACAGAGTAAATTTTCAGTAAATATTGCCTTTGATGACCATGTCAATATCCTATAACAATATTTATGAAATTAAAGAAAACTGTGTGGAGATCAATTGTGATTGTCTTTCATAACTTACTGGTTAGTTCATATTTTGCTGGAGACCAGCAGTCAGGGTTGTGATCATGGGAGTATGTGAGAGCCTAGGCTTATGTCTGACTAATGTCCACAGCAGGAAAGAGCCATGAGCAATCTAGTAGTTATGAGTTCTTTAGCAAATCCTCTAGGGCACTGACTTAAGCAAAGCCTTTTGTTTTATCACAGACTTTAGGATAAAAATGTGTGACCAGCCGAAACCGGTTTGGCTCAGTGGATAGAGCGTCGGCCTGCGGACTGAAAGGTCCCAGGTTCGATTCCGGTCAAGGGCATGTACCTGGGTTGCGGGCACATCCCCAATAGGAGATGTGCAGGAGGCAGCTGATCAATGTTTCTCTCTCATCGATGTTTCTAGCTCTCTATCTCTCTCCCTTCCTCTCTGTAAAAAATCAATAAAATATATTTAAAAAAAAAATGTGTGACCAGTGTGAGAGGCAGTAGGCTCTGGTCAGAACGTAGAGTCCCTGATGTTTAAGGAAAGAGTTGAGAAAAAGGAACCCAAGAAAGACAGGAAGGGCAGGAAGCAAGAAGAGAGTCAGAAACAAAGACTGAGTTTCAAGGAGAAGAGAGCAATCCACTCCGTGATCTCTGAGACAAAGCAGAGGGGTCCAGGTCAGACAAAGACACAGAAGTATCCATTGGCACTGGTCACTTGGAGTCATGGGTGATCTCTGCAAGAGTGTTGTCAGGAGAGAGGGGGCCCAAGGCAATTATCACCTGCTGAGGAGTGAATGGAGATGAACTATAGCCAGCCTGGTTAGCTATTTTTTAAAGAAGTTTGACAGAAAGGAAAGACAGGGAAAGGATGGCAATCCTTTGGTCACTGTACCTGTAAGGTCTAGAGAATGTTTATATTAATATGGGGAAATATTGGTATGTTTAAGGACTGAAAGAGAAAGGCCAACATCAAAAGGAATGTTAGAATATCCCAAGACAAAGGAGATATCTCTTGGAATAAGGTTATACTTGTAATTCCAGTGAGCAGGGTACAGTGTGTGTGTGTGTGTGGGAGGGGGCGGGGGTTGGTCCTGAATGGAAGGTGAAAAGAACTCATCTCTCCATGTAGAAGAGAAGAAAGTAGAAACTGATGCAGACGCAGAAGCTGTGTAGATTGGGAGGAGGAAGTTGAGTAGGGGATTTGAAGATAATAATGATCATTTGCGATGGTCTTCGGCGAGGATGCAGTTGTGAGGGTAAGCAGGAATTTGCCATCGGCTAAGATGTGGAATTCTCTCCATGTTCTCAGGAGCCCAGAGGGTAGGCATAAAGAAGGTGGGTGGGCTGAGTATTCCTCAACCTTGCAGGCTGATGTACCTTGGGTCCCTGTGGTCCAGGTGAGCCTTCAGGACCTGGGAATCCCTTCAGGCCAGGAGAACCAGGGGGTCCGGGAAGACCTTTCTCTCCCTATTAAAATGAAAACAAGAGGAGAAACACACAGAACAGAAACTCTTCAACAACATACACAGCCTTAACCATTGTTTTTCCCCCTTTATGACTTGATAACGTTTTTGCATATTTCCCCCCTTAGATGTAAACAAAAATCAGCCCTCAGCAGTGAGTGGATCAGTAACTGAAATGCTGCCCGCTATTGGCATTGTCTATAGGCTTGGAAGTGCTGGCCCTTGATCTGTAAGAACTTTAGCCCAAATGGCAGAGGTAACTGAACAGGGAGAGAAAGAAAAAAAAAATCCAGAATGAAGGGGAAACCCAGTTAGAAAGATTGAGGTCAGTAGTGTGTTTGTTGAGAGATGGAGAGAGTGAGGACAAGGCGCAGGAATGCTGTTGGGAGTGTACATAACTGCTCTGTAGCTTGCAAAGAACAACATGCAGGCAGTGGGTCTTAGTTCTTTCTTGATTACAGAGGAATTCGTAATTCAATATGATATTTGTGCAAGAGATATGTCAAGGGTGGCATAAGTATCAGTGTGAGCGAAATAGTTTTTTTTTTTAGAAAGTGTCAGATGATATGGGAAAGCCCCTAGTAATGAGTGAGTGTAAGTAATTTAGGCCCAATGTGTTACGTGGTTCTCTGCCAACAAAGAATCTTCCCATGGAAGTGGATCCTGGACTTACTCTTTAACAGTGAAGGCCACCAGTTAATTCGGTCAATTTAGTTACACAATTGGCAAATTATATTTTTAAAGAGAGAGTGAGAGACTGAGAGAGAGAGAGAGCATACACCCAATAAAAAGAGAAATAAAAGAATTTGCTAGACTCCTCTCAATACTCAAGTTCCTTCACACATCCTAGAATAGCATCTTGAACACAGTAGGGATTCAATACTGCTTCTAGAATGTGAGAATGAATCATAGTTTCCATCATGAATCTGAGTATAATAGCTTCTGGGAAAAAATCCTAAATCAACTACACATGAATTTTAAAATAATTTAAAATAAATATAATAATAGCTATTATAGTGATCATATAAATTATATGTAAATTATTTTATCTAGAGAGCTTAAAATATATTCTTTTCAAAATACTTTAAGCAGTCACCTTTCAATATTGTTAAGTAAATCATTAGTGCATCTGAGGGAAGGGTTTTGTGAACAAAGACACAAATTTAGTTCTGCCTCTGTCTTTATCACAGATTGCAAGTTAATGGAGCGAATTAATGAGATTTCACCGCATTCCCTCCTCCCCCAGACCCTTTGAATTCTGCAATGGAGCCACTTCCCTCTGCTAAATGTTTGCCTCAAGTAGAGCGCTGCTACAGGATCCTTCCACCAGGGGGCGGGCCTGCATCAACGCCGAAGGACTTAAAATTTGAGCGCTTCAATGTTTAGTTTGTGTCTAAGTGAGTGAATTAAGTTATTTCCAGTTGTTCTCTCGTGGTTAGCAAAATTGTAAATAGGGTATACATCAACTTTCCTTTCCTCTAACTTGCCTTTCTCCTTGACAGGCCAAGAGAGTTAAAAATCACTGCCTGTATTTACACAAGTTGTCTGAAGCTCCTCTAAGGCCCTCCCCCCCCCCCCTTTTTTTTCAGGTTAACTTTTACATACAATTACTTTATTAACATCGGATTTGGGGAATGGGAGAACATACTGCTGATCTTCCTGCCCTTAATGAAAGAAGAGTGTGAGCTCCAGGATGAGCTCCAAAGAGAAAAGAAGCCAAATTAAGGTTTTACTTTTACCTTCTCCCCTTTGGTCCCACTGCAGAAGCACTGGCCTTTGTCGGTGCAGACACAGCCCTAGGAAGAGGGAAAGAGAAAGGGTTTTGGGTGAAAACAGCTTAGTAAGTCCCAACTGACTGGGTAAAAGCAAACATAGTTTTCTATTCTTAGATCGTTGAACACTGATTGTTAGAAGTGATGAGATGCTGTGGCCATGTATCAATAGAAATAGAGTAGGTAAGGGTGAAGCTGTTGCATATGGAAGAACTGTCAGGTGAATATACATCATTCTCATGGTATTTAAGAATTTTAAGAAATTTATTCATGGAAAAAAGCCAACTGTCCTTTTTTTTTTTTTAACAATATATAGTGGAACCATATGAAATTGCCATTGTTGTAGGTAGAACGTGGTCTGATATTGGCAAGTGTTGTAAGTTCAGCATAATGTACATGTATGTATTTGGGTATATTAATTGGTGGCATCTTCTGAGGTTGATTCTAAGGTTTTCTTTTCTTGAAATAATTCAAGACGGAGAAAAGATGATCAATACCCATGATGTGTCTTTAAAGAGAAAAACAAACTAATTCACTAATGCTAATATCAAAGTGTTCTTATTAAAAAACAAAAACTGAACTGTGAGTTTAGCAGCTTTTACCTCCCTAACTAGTCACTTTGACACACAACCCCAGCTTTCACACGTATGCACATGCCAATTCTGATGAAGGCCAGCAGAGGAACCAAAGAGAGATAATTTCATCTAGTGGATTTAAAATTTGTTTTGATACACATTCTATGGTTACATATTTATCTTTCTTTTTTGGGTTAATATTAACTTAAAATGTGTTCTCTTCCCTTACACTGCCCCCAACCCCTCAAAAAAAATTAACTGACAGCAGAGGCTGGGCAAGGGTAGGAGATGTGCTGACTGGGAAGAAAATTTTTAAAAAATTGCCTCAGGTAGTCCCAAAGTCCCAAAGTTGTGCAATCAAAATAAAAATATGCAAACAAAAAATCTTTAATTGAACATATTTCCTGAATATAGGGCAGTAGACTATGCTGTCATTCAAAAGAGGGAGTACATAGCAATTTCAGACATTCTTCATGTATCCTCACCACATTTTCATACTAGTACATCATAATCTATATGAATAGAGAGCAACTGATTGAAAAGAAAAGTCTGTATTTTCCCCAAGGTTTGGATAGTTGGTATTTTTTTTACCAGAGAGGAAGGGAAAGGGATATAGAGATAGAAACATCAATGTGGAGAGAGAGAGTCATTGATCAACTGCCTCCTGCACACCCCACACTAGGGATCGAGCCCATAATCTGGGCATGTGCCCCGACCAGGAATCAAACAGTGACCTCCTGGTTCATAGATTGCTTAGCCAAAAGATACAGCAGCTATATATATAATCCTCACCTGGATATATACTTTTTATTGATTTTAGAGAGAGAGGAACAGAGAGGGAGAAAGAGAAAGAGACATTGATGTGAGAAACTTTAGTCAGTTGCTTCCTGCACAATCCCTAACAGGGCATCGAACCTGAATCCTGATGTGCCCCCTGATCAGGAATAGAGACCCGTGATTTTCAGAGTAAGTAACAACACTCTAACCATGACTTTCAGAGTAAGTAATAACACTCTAACCAGCCAGGGCACAGTGACCATATTTTTATTTTCATTAATTTTAATTCACGTTTTTGGGCCCATTTGTGAAGTGCTATGAATATATTAATGAGCTAAAACCCATTAATTACTATTTAATTGCTAAATCCATTAAAAACCAGTCTGGCCAAATGCCAATACTAAGAAGGCATAACTAATGGATATTTCTTAAGCAATATTTTTATTATTTTTCCTCTTCAAACAATAAAATACCTTTTAGTTTCCATCACGAAGAAATCATTTGTCTTGAACTGAAAGCTCGTAATAATGTTCTTATGTGCTAACCATTAACACATCAGGAAGTGACCAAGGTTATGGTGATGTTTTAGCACTTTTGCATATTTAACAGTTAAACTTGTGAAACTCATTCTTTTAACAGTCACATTCATTTTTTATGACAATAACCTTACTTTGAATGCAAAATAAACATTGATAGTGGAGAATTTTAAGAGGTTTTGAAATTCCAGAAATCACAGGTTTTTCATTTAAAAGCATCATGTACCACTGGGGTCTCAAACCAATATTTTATTAAGCAAATAAATTGTTTGTGTGCTCATGTAGGTCAAGTCTACAAAGGAGCTATCCCCAGGTTTCCAGCTACCTACCTTTTGAGCTCGGCGTGTCAGCATTTTGAAAAACCCTAACTTAACTCTGGTGCTGTGTCACATATAGAAATTTTTTGATATTTGCAACCATAGTAAAACAAAGATTTATATTTTTGATATTTATTTTATATATTTAAATGCCATTTAACAAAGAAAAATCAACCAAAAAAATGAGTTCGCGTGTCACCTTTGATACGCGTGTCATAGGTTCGCCATCACTGTACTAGAGCTTTGGACAAATTACTTAATCCTTCCAAGCTACCTCATCTGTAAAAGAAGATGCTAAGCTCTGTCTCAAGGTGTTTTTTTGTGAAAAGGACTTGAGGTGCTGCCATAAGGCTCTGCAGAGCCAGTGCCCTGCACTGAGTATAATAGTCAATGGAGACTACCCTTCTCTCTTGTTCTGCTGCAATATCCTATGCCAAAGGACAGACATGCTACTGTGCAACCCTTCCTTCTGTCAGGCGGAACTAGCCGTGGTCTTCCCAGAATTTCCTCCTGAAGGGGGTTGGCTAGTGCCAGAGAGCTGGTCTTCATTCTAAGACCAATGGTAAGCAAACTGAGAAGTATTTTGGTTCAACTACAACTGCGTTAACTACAGACATTAATAGTACTCTTAGAATAGATTAAATATATTAGTCAATTAAGTAAATATTATGTGTATATGAGCACACACACACTTTGTTTGCTTAATATAATATTGGATTGAGACTCCAACAGTGCGTGATGTTTATAAATGAAAAGTGCCAATCAAATATATTTTACAAAGGCAGCAGGCAATTCCAGAAATGCTGGTCAGTTGTCTCTTGCACTTTTCTCTTTGTCTCAATTCCTGTTGTGCTCATGAAGGCCCATATATTGCCTGCAGGTCCATATGGCAGAGGGGTTAAGAGGAGACATCCTGGGCCTGAATCCCAGCTCTGCCAAGTCACCTGTGTGACTCTATGTGATCTCTAGTGCCTCAGTTTCTGCATCTGTGAAATGGGGTCAAATGGGTTAACACTGTTAAAGTACTTAGACAAGTACATAAGATGTGTACTGGAACAGACTCAGCCCAGAGATGGCACCATCGGGATCTGCCAATAAACCTTGGTAAACTCACCCTTCTCTTCCTAATTACATCTTTACTGTCTTGTCACTTCTTTACAAATTTATTGTTTCTCTGTCCAAAAGATCTCAAAGCTCCCTGCTCTGGTCACTTCTTAGTGTCTTCATTCTCTTGTGAAGGCTCCCACACACATGCAAAAATTTAATTAAAAAATGTGTGTGCTTTTCTCCTGTTAATCTGACTGTCGCTTTAATTTTCAGGTCAGCCAGGGACCCTAAGAGGATCGAGGAAAACTCTTTCCTCCCCCACAGCTGTTTCTGTGGGCTACCAACAGTGTGGGCTTTTACTAACTTATTAACTTAATATTGCTATTTTTAAATGCTCATGAGTTGAGGTTTATTATGTTTACTAGACTGCAGGTAGGAGCTGTGTCTGGCAGGCAGTAAAAAATTATCTTTTTATTCCTAAAACGAATAAAGGATCTAATTATGCACACACGTTTGTTTGTTTGTTTGTTTATAAATAGGCCAGAAACTAATTTTTGAATAATTTCAGATATTCCCTCTTTCTACTCTCAGAACAGCCCGTGACTAGTTTACACGCATTCTGCTGCCCTCTGTTCAATCTCTCCTCCCCCACGCCCAGCCCAGCCCAGCCCAGCCCAGCCCAGCCTGGGTTAGCATAAGGGGAAGTTGGCAACATTCAAAGTTGGTTCACACTCTACTTAGCAGGCCTGTTGATTTTGCAATATATTTATTGACCCTCTGCCCAGCCAATAGCCAGAGGCAAAAGTTTTTGTGTGTGAAAAGCATCAACCATGTGCGGGCAGCTGTGCCAGACAGAGTCCATGGGCTGTTCTTTGCCCTTCCACCCATATCTGCCTTAAATAATTGCCCCTGAGCCTTGACAACACGCCCTCCAGTAAAGAGGGGTGCCATCCTTGTGCTGCTTTTTCAGTGGCCCCCTTCTTCCCCATCCTGAGCCCCTGTCCCCATACTTGGATATCACAGAAATCTCTCTGCAACTGCCACTTCCTATCTTTCAACTGCTGTCCAGAGAAACACCCCCCAGTCTAGACATCTAACCCAGCTGCCTATTTGTGATTTTCTGGATGACAGCAAGCATACAGATCATTGGCGCTGACTCAGAGGTCCCTGTTACATTTGGGAATGAACAATACGTTCAGGGAGTTTTACACATCTTTCATAATGCAGTGAGTGATATTTAAGTCTATAATCAGCCAAAGTTAGTGGGGCTGTTAGTTGTTTATTTCTTGCCCTGATCAGTACCAAAATGATAGCGATAGTTAACATTTTCGGAGCACTGACTGAGCATCACCCATAAGACAAGACCACCTTTTCAAATGGAAATCTTATTTAGATTCTAGAAAAGACTCTGATGTCACATGATTTGAAAATATGGACACTGCTTGAGTAGCCATATTATTCTGCATGCTAAGCAGAAGAAACAGGCTCACTTATGTATGGAAGAGTTAAGCTAGAAAGAGAGTTGATTAAATACCTTTATTTGTGTCTGTTCCTTTTGAAAACCAGAATAAGATGATGGATAAAAAATAAAGAATAAAAAATGTATCAACCCAAAGATAAGGAAAACAGGTGAGAAGACTAAAATAGATAAAAAGTGCCAATTAACTTTTGGAAGATGGATGGCGATTGGAAGCTTTGTTATTGCTTTGGCACATTTTCTTTGTTCCAATAAAAGTAAGATATAAAAAGAGAAAATAGAAAATAAATAGATT